TTACCAGTCAGTAGGTTGAAGGTTCGCTGTGTCGACCTCCGTTGAAAATTAGTGCGATATAAGCCAGTTCCCGATTTTCTGGTAATGTGCCTCGCCTTAATGAATGTGAGGACATCACGCTAAGCGGTGTTGTCGTGATTGAAGCTGCTTCCCTTAGTATGGCAGAATGGACCATATCCGGACCAGGTGAAATGTATTTTACTTTGGTGCTAAATTTTCCGGTACAGCGAGTCAGCGCTCAGGTTCCTTTCTGAAAGTCCTGTGGAGTTGCAGGTGAAGTTTTCATTAATATAGTTAGTGTGAGTTGGTTAAATTATGCGAGAGTACTGTTCTGCCAGAAGGTCAGCGCGCGTCACCATCGTTGTTGGTCGAGCCACTAGAACCTACAAGTCGAGAAACTTCGGTTCGGGCTTGTTTAAAAGTGGGTTCATGACGAACTAAGCTTTTCAGGTTGGAGACAAGCTTTATCTAGTGCTGGAGCCTGTCTTCTCTTATTGCCTTTGTGCATATGTTTCTTATTTGTTTGGATTGCCTGTATGCACTGTTGTTACCAGTTCGTTTGTATTCCACCTAGCAGTGCATTTTGTGGGTTAGCAGACGAATAGTGTGGTTTTTGATGACTATAGGCTGCCTGTAGATCTTAGGGACCGTTAGCGGAAAACTACTTTTTAACACGTAAGGTGGTGTGCAGAGAGAAATCCCAAGGAGCGTCCATATCAAGTTGAAAGTGAACTTCCAAGTTCACCTGCTGTAGATTGTTTTTTAATGTTGATAAATGCGACTGCATGAAATTTAAACGTCTGTTGTTAACATAATGTTATGTGGATATCTGAGACAAATTAATCAGGACGATCCCCCCTGCACACAATTGTTGTTCTCGGTGTTACCAATTGTCTTCCTGTAGGTTACCACATCTAGGTATCTCGCGGTATTAGATGATCTCTTTGAGCACTATATAGATTCATCAAGATTTATAAATTATTTGAAGCACACCTGATGTGCTATCGAGCAAGAGTGAAGGTACAAAGCTGTTTCTCCATCTTTCGTTTTTCTGTCGTTACTAACAAAGTCATCTTGGATACCGTAATCTCCCAATTCGTAATTTCAGATGTACGTGTTCCAATTATTCACATCGTATCAGTGAATTTAACATTGCCTAGTGCACGTAACTCACCTTTTTTTCTGGTGAACTCGCAGCGTTCATACGTAAGCCGTTCATGCTTTCAGATTTAAACTCATTAGTTTGCTCGTACTGCTTTTTTAATGAGCCTTATATGAATGAATAGGCAACCTACATTCATAGGATTTCCCACGTTTATAGTCCCAGTCCCTTTCACGATTTTATTTTATTATTGATGGCTTTAAAGTGAAATAGTTGGTTCGGTTTCCCAGGTGTTTTGGGCAATTTCAGGTCAAAAATTTTTTTGTTTGGTAGTTGAAGCGTGGTTTAGATTTTTGTGCTCCTTGCTGGCTGATTAGACAGTCGTAGGGGTAGACTGTATGGCCAAATCACCAGTTGGTTTCACTTCAATGTTCTGCTTTGTAGACTGTGAAAATTAGATTTTTACAACTTTAATGACGGGTCAAAGCGCCTACAAAGGATTCGGGGACCACCGTTGCATTCAGGGATCTTATGCTGGGGGTCCCAACTTTACCGAGGCAGTCTAGTACCGTCGATGTTATGATGGTGCTTGGCGTCAGCATGATCTTACTAGTTTCGATGCATGTTCCGACGATACTAGCGTTGTCAAGGTAGCTTTTCTTTTCTTCACTGCTCGTCTTTGTTTGTTTACTCGATTTAAAACTACCTTTTTCAAGTTTGCCGACAACTTCTTCCTCAGCCCTGTTAAGTGAATGATGATGATGCTCAGCGAATCCTCAGCATTTATGTTGCACGTGCCACATGTTGACCTACGATCCGACCAATTAAGCCCGTTGTAAGTAGGTACTGTAAGATCTGTGCATACTTCGTGGAATCAACCTTTGCATTTGTCACACTGCATGCCAGAGGTGACAGCAAAACGGTGTCCAGGTTGCTTGCACGAATTCTTCATAATTATGGTGATGCAAAATGTTTGGTGGATCCCAGAAAAAATCCACGACCGTAAAACAAAAACAGTACTCTCAAAACAGTTAAAATGGATAAAAACGGGTAGTACAAAAAGTTAGGATAAGCTGAAACTAGTCTTGACTTGAAAAACTGAAAAACCAAATAGTAAGCTGAAGTAAACCATAGTTAACTGATAACTTGGTTGAAACTCAGAAATAAAAGTGATTTACCAAACCTTAGGCTTAGGACAGATTTTTTGGATCAAAGGTTATACTTTTATTGCGTAAGGACACAGAAGTTTGAGAAAAGCAAATCACATTACGACTAAGCTTCCCGTCTGTAAATCGTGCGCGTACTGCTTCGGGTCCGTACTTTCGTGCATGCAACTGCAATTTGCTCTATTAAAGGTCTGATCGATAAACATTCAAGAGCACCACTATTAATGGTCTATAAACTCAATAACCGTCCATTAAATTTTTATGGTTTGCCTATGTTTTATCACTAAATCTTTAATACACAGTGCCATAAATGCATTTATTAGTTTTATTACAACTAGTAGAAATCTGGCTGTTGAATAAGTTACACTGGAATTTATCAGAAAAGTTGTCATTTCAGTTGTACTGAGTTGTTGTAAAAATATCGGTAAGACTTTGATTTACGGACGACCTTTGAGTGATGCCGAAGTGACCCTGATTATGTCTACATAGTTATTATGGCTTATTGAGCGTTTTAAACCATTGTAAGGATCTAGGATTATGATTTATAGTCGATTGTTAGGGTTATGAGTTATAGTTTGATTTCCATCACAAACTGACATAAAATATAGTGCCAAAACTCGATTTACCTAAATGGACGAATGAATTTCGTTCAAATTCAAGACCTGTTATCCTAAATCTGATTGGTTCTTCCATAAGTTATAGTCTTGTCAAAATATCGGTTTCTATCCTTTTAGCTTTATAACCAATTTTTATAGTTATTTTTCGTTACAATCACATGATACAAAGACAGCTCAAAATGTCACATTTTATTCTGAAACAGATAACTGTCGGGTATAATCTATAACACTTTCATAATTTTGAATATGGAAACTATGGGATTAGTGTACCACAAGTTTTTGAACATCATCATTCATAGATAGTAATAATTTTAAAGAATACATAACTCCAAAATGTCTTAAGAAATTTATGCTAGTCACTAAGCCGTTATTTAAATTTTGAGAATGATCAAAAAGATTTATATAAATACATCCTAGACACAATGAAGAAATGTCAAACTGTCTCAAGATATGAAGTCAGATTTACCATTATTTTGTGTATCAAGATTGATATCATGAAAAATGAATTATGTCCTACGAACAATAACCACCGTCACTTCTGGAATAACAGCAAAATAATGACGTCAAATCATATCAATTTAAATGAAGCTATATGGTTTACTGTCAGCATTAGTCAAATGCTTGGGGCAGAATATTTATCACAACTTTTTATCAGATGTCTTGTAGCTGTTTGAAAAGTCAAATAAGCACGGTTTTTATAGGTTACATACTAAACGTTTTAGATTTAAATTTACGAGATAACTTTGCTCTTTATCATTCAAAACGTTTACTAGCATAAAATACGTTTAAAATCGGATATTTTTCCATATTTTTTTCCCATGCATCCTACAGTTTTGCAACTTCAGAATTCTTTCTCTTGATAGTAAATGAACTTTCTTTCCTTAGGAAAAATGTGTACAGGAAGATGATTATTGTATTCACAGATGAGGTATTTTAAGTTATTAATACAACTTTGTACTTTAGTTAAAAAAGTCGACAGTCAGCTTTGGACTAATATAATGTTCATTAAAAATAATTTGTAAATGTGTCAATACTGCATATTTATCTAACAGGCCTAACTTCTTTGACTTATCAAATATTTGAAGTCATTTCTTAAGTCGTCTTGTGTATGAAATCCAGAGTGCGTTATAATATTTCGCATAACGGGAAACTTTATTCTGTTATTTTTCGTTCTGGTTACATTTTACAAACAGTGATCGGGCTGTAAACAAACACCGAACAAAATGAATATTTTGCAATACATGCCTTTGTGTTTTGAAAATTTACAAGTGGTATGTATTGCTAATAACTAATTAAACCTCTCAGACCGATAATAAAATGGAATTTATAATACTAGAGTATTTCTTGTAAAGAAGAGGCACGTTAACCCAGACAAATTAATAATACTCCGTTATCACACTAAAAATAAATTTATTTAACCCTAATGAAACCATTTTTTAGTTTTTTTGATTGCAAAGGGATGTATACAGGCTTAGTTTGATAACATTATTTTAAATTCATTGTCATAAGGTAGGATGATTAATTTTTTCCTGTCAAGAAAGTGAATTCATGGAAGTTTGACCAAACTGACAGAATATTCACAAATTATATCTGGATGGCAACTGTGAAAAATTCCTTATCAATCCAAAAGTAATCTTTACATAACATTGAAGGATTGTTTGTATTTATGAATCGTACTTCATTCATTTTGTTGTAGTACCCTTAGTGTTTATTAACTACTGTGCCTTTCATTATCAGTTTAAATATTGTTTAATGAAAGCTAGTTATCCGAGCTTTATAGCTTACATAATCTTAACTTCATAAGTACTTTATTAGTACTCAATTAGTTTCAATTAATAATATGTAAATACTTGAACACCTACTTGAATTAAGTGTGAGTGAGATTTATTTCTATTTACTTCGATAGTAAACATGTACAAAGAATGACTATCGAAGTGAAATTATATGGAACAATAAAAACTCCATAGATTCTTGAAAAGCATTACAATGAATAAACAACATTTGATTTTTGGTTTTTGTATTATTATCAGTTAGTATGTACTAAAGATAAATCAATAATAATACATACCTTTGTTTTTTTTCTTAAAAAAGATTTTAAAACAACTTGTTTACTTCATTTCAAACTTTTTTTGTTTAAAGAGTCGACAGATTCAATAAGTGAAGTGTTAAAATCACTTCTTCACTATCTCAATTCTAATACAACATGTAGTATAATATTTCCTTTAATACATGTAAGTCTATATTACTAAAAAAGTTTTTACTATTACTATTATCACTATTATCACTACTAGTAATAATAACTGGAAGTTGATCAAAGAATTAATTAAAATCATAATATTCTGATTATCTGTTTCACTATATATGAATTCCACAGAAATATACAACTTTTCATTCTTCTCAATTCAGAGTCCGTATGACATTTCAAATTTTTTAATAAGTGAACTACATTGAATCATTTAAAACATATCGTTTAAGTTCATCACCTCAGTATGATCGACACGATTACATTTCTCATTTGAACTCTGAAAGCTTCATTTGTTTTAAGTTACTAAAAAAAGGAAGTTGCTTATGATTATTTGGGAATTTATGAATTTCAATCCAATTTTAGTACAAATAGTTATTGATAAAAAAAAATGAAAATCTTCCCATTTATCAATAGTTCTATAGCTGAGATTATTTCTTTATAAACAGTATTTTTTAAAACCAAAAAACGTCTACTCTTTGTCTTGAAAGATATACTTCATGAACAGTATAAGGACTGATAATTATATAAACAACTGATTTATTGAGTTCATTTATTGACTGATTCGCTTATTATTTGTAAGATCAATGATCTACTGTTTATCCCACTATACGATGACTGTGAGTATCCTAACAATCACAAGTCCGATAAACAAATTCGTCCTCTAGTCCCATAGTCAAACAGAAAACGAATATAGCAGGTTGATAAAATTTTTGTTGTACAGTTCACTTACAACTCGAAATCATATTGTAGTACGGATCAAATGGCTGACCGCAAAGAAACATAAACAGAAAAATACAACAAGTATATCTCTACGCCATAAACTAAGGATAACTGGATAAAAGATCTATTATTTGAAGCGAACGGTACTGGGTTCGAATCCCAGGGTGAAAATCAACTCTGGGATGCAAATACATCCAGATGACGAGCCCCAAACAGAACAAAATGCACATCCTAGACTCCTTTGCTAGCCACTATCCACCTTTGCTTATAATGCTTGTGAATTAAGGTAATATCGAGGCAATGAGCACAATTTGCACATATGTCAATAAGAAGCTGATCAATCGCAGTCCTAAACATCAATGGGAAGATTCAAGTAAACAATACCAAGTGAATTTAAATCAGTGCTTTTTGGGAGGGAAGCAAGGAACAATACACTGCCTTCTATGTATATTTTACTTTACTATAAAATGTTAACTGAAGATTGTGTTTAAAAGTTAATGAAAAACCTGGAAGCACTGGAGAGCCGTTTCATCCTATCGTGGCACTCTTCAGCAGTGCGCATCCACGACACCGCTCGCTTGATTCTAAACCAGGCCCTTCAGTCTCGCGCGCGAGCACTTAACCTCCAAACCATTGAATTGGTAATCAAACAGTGTTATTGTTTAACCCCAATCAATACACGAAATTGTGCGACCATCTTCCATTGTGGATGCGCACCGTTGATGAGTCCCACAATAGGACGAAAAGACTATCCATTGATCCCAGGTTTTCAATAGTGATCTAACATCAATCAATTGGTGATGCCATTCAAAAATTTAATAATCTCCACAACCCTTACTGATAATCTAATATTTTAATTTAATTTATTAATTATTCTTATTTTTCTGTTTCATAGAACAATTCATTTTTTGATCGTATATTATGAAAGTACAATTTGTAGAGTACCATTTAAAAGATTGAAACTTAAAAAATAGCTTTATATATTCATTTTATAATCAGTTAATAATTCACATAAACTTATTCATTATTTAGTAATGATGATATGATTCTTTACGATAGTAGAATTAATTCATCAGTTTACTGTTTACATTGTTGAAATCTTCATGTTTATTCCTTATAAAATTATTCAGAATATTATTATTATTATTATTATTATTCATTTAATGTGAACAATAAAATAAAGGATTTAGAAAATGCTCATTTCGAACTAACGGATACATTGAATAAATTGTTACCAGAGCCTATTATAAAACAAATGGTAAAATATAAACATCTAGAGGTTAGTTAAAACGATATTGTGATATATTATTGTATTAACGAATCACTTTTTTTGAAATATTGAATTCCTTTTAACATGCTTTCAATGATTATCAGGGAGAATTTACTGATATGATAATAAAAGTTGTGATTTTTACTTACTTACTTACACCTGTTATTCTTCGTGGAGGAGCATAGGCCGCCCACTAGCACTCTCCATTCAATCCTGTCCTGGGCAATCCTTTCCAGCTCTTTCCAGTTTTTATTCGTCCTTTCCATATCTGCTTCTATTTCTCCACTTAATGTGTTCTTTGGCCTTACTCTTTTCCGATTCCCTTCAGGATTCCAAGTTAGCAATTGTCTCGTAATGCAGTTTGATGATTTCCTCAATCTATGTCCTATCCATTTCCATCATCTTTTCCTAATTTCCTCTTCAGCTGGAACCTGGTTTGTTCCTCCCAAAAAGGCTATTGCTGATGGTATCCGGCCAATGGATGTTGAGTATCTTGCATAGACAACTATTTATAAATACTTGTACCTTCTTGATGGTGGTTATTGTAGTTCTCCACGTTTCAGCTTCGTACATTAGAACTGCCTTGACGTTCGTATTGAAGATTCTGACTTTGATATTGGTTGAAAGTTGTTTTGAATTCGATATGTTCTTCAACTGTAGGAATGCGGCTCTTGATTTACCAATCCTCGCCTTCACGTCTGCATCCGAACCTCCTTGTTTATCGACGATGCTTCCTGGGTATGTGAAGGATTCCACATCTTCCAGAGTTTCTCCGTGTTGTATTTGAGGACTTTGGTTTCCCCTTTGTGTATGTTGAGGCCAACTGATGCAGAGACTGCTGCTACACTGACTGTTTTTATCTGCATTTGTTCGTGTGTATGCGATAGGAGGGCAGGGTCATCTGCGAAGTCAAAATCGTATAATCGGTTCTGAACTGTCGATTGTATGCCGTTTTTTCCCTTAGATTTCGAGGTCTTCATCATCCAGTCGACCACCAAAAGAGAGAGGAAGGGAGAGAGTAGACAGTCTTGTCTGACTCCGGTCCTTACTTGGAATGCATCTGTCAGCTGTCCTCCATTCACTACTTTGCACTGTAATCCGTCGTATGAGTACCGCATAATATTGAAAATCTTCTCAGGAACTCCATAGTGTCGAAGAAGTTTCCATAACGTTCTCCTATCTACACTGTCAAATGCCTTTTCATAATCAATGAAGTTGATGTGAAGTGACGAGTTCCACTCAACTGATTTTTCGACGATGATCCGTAGTGTCACAATTTGGTCTGTGCACGACCGATCCTTACGGAATCCAGCCTGCTGCTCTCGAAGTTAAGCGTCTATTGCGTCTTTCACCCGGTTCAGCAACACTCTGTTGAAGACTTTCCCTGGTACTGACAGTAGTGTGATGCCTCTGGGATTTATACTAGTAATCAATAATTTACTAATAAACATCTATAATCTAACATACCATTGTGATTCAACTATCTTGTACGGAGTAAATTTTAAATTAAGTGAAATAATTTAGAATAAATAAAATTCAGGCTAATTATCATTTAGAGAAGTTAATTATACTAATCTTTTTATCTGAAGTTAATCTGTGATGAAAAATATATATAATTATTTAACTAGTTGAGTCACGTCAACTTGATAGAGAAACTTGATACTCTGTTTACTCTTGAAGGGCAGACAAATCTATATCAGTGACATGGTATGTGACTGACTGGATAAAATCTAGAAGATGCTTCTCAATAATGATTATTTACCTACATATATTAATAAGAATATGAAGCCAAAATACCAGTGTGAAAGACCAACTACTGTCACAAAGGTGACTTTTTTCAAGAAATTTGAATTTAGACGAGATACAGTTGCAGCAAGCTTTCGAAATATTCTCTTCCTCTTCACTTCTAATTGTTTTTATTTAACTTCTGATCCTTGAACTTATTAATGTCAAGCTTAGTTTTGGCCCACATCTATAAATTCATTTTTTACTACAGAGCTGGTTACATTTAGCGAACAACGATCACTTTCAAAACACATTTCTCAGGATTACTCTGCCTGATTAAAATGAGTATACAGTTCAATCAACAGTTCAAATCTAGAATTAGTTAAATTCTGGTCCCTTTCTCATGTCATACTTCTCACTCAAAGACGTTCATAGAATCAAATAAACCGGGTGATGCTGTAGTTTACGGACAACCTTTGAGCGATGCTACAGTAAACTTGAGAATATTCACCTACTTATTAGGGTCAAAAGAGGTTTGTAACCTACAGTAACGAATCAGTATTACGATTTACAGTTGGATGTAGGGGTTGGGGGTTAGATTTCGGATTTTCATCACGAACTAACATCAACCATAATGCCAAAACCGTATTTAGCCATATGGATGGATGAAATTCGTTCCAAAATTCAAGATCCGTTATCTTAAAGCTGATTGATTCATCCACAAATTATAGTCTCACCATAAATTGTCCTAAAAGAAAGTAAATTTAAACTTGAGTATTACAAAGACCCAGCAATCCACCAACTCACGCCTAATCTTTGTGTTACAGCAAAATGTTCACTTACACATCTTATTTTCGTCTTAAGTTTCTTTCTACCTCTCATATTTGATAATCAACCTTTGTTACTCTTCTCTGGTATTTTTCCAAAATTATCAATTAACTTTTACAATATTCAATCATTATATCTTTCATATTGATCGACTGAACAATTACTACTCATATATAATGTACATTCATCTTACCGCTTTATGTTACATTTTTTGAAGATAACGTAAAATTCATTCAATCTTCAGTTTATCCTAACAAATTCTAATATGATCCAACTGTATTTATTGAAAAGCTTTTCTATATGTTAAGTTAATAAGAAAATACTATTGTGATGGAGTTTTGTTCTCTAAGCTAGATGGTTTGGTCGTGGAGCTTACATTGTTCTTCTGTACGACATCATCAGCAAAAACTTCAGGTAGAAGTGAATTGTTCGAATTTCTCCGCATGTTGTTCACAGCTTGTCCTGTAGACCTCAATGTTGATTGGTTCTTGTTGACCTTAAGCCTGTCACTGTTTACTTTATTTTGGTGAGACATATGTGGAGAAATTCAATCACTTCACTTCTACCTGAAGTTTATGATCATGATGTCATTCAGAAGAACGATGAAAGATCCATGACCGAACCATCCGACTCAGAGAACAAAATTCCATCAAAATCATCCACTTGAGCTACAATAATTCAATAATACTTCAATTAAAATTCTCAAGTAATTATTAAATAGTTTACTTGTTTTAGCAAAATAAATTTATATACGTATAGGATTATTGTGACTATACGTTTTTCTTTTCACTTCTATCAATAAAAGCAAAAATCTTATCATCATCAAATTGTTTTAACTAATTTATTAGTTATAAGCTTATGTAATTAACTTTAAGTCATTTTTAGTAATATCATCCGTCTGTTCAAACGGAGTAGGGTTTTGTCCTGTGACTCAGTAGTTTAACCTTAATACCACCACTAAATAGATGTTGGATCATTCAAGTTGAAGTTTCACTAGTTAATTTAATTTTACTTAAAGGATACGAAATTATTCTTCTTCATTTATATATATTTATACACATGTATATAAATTTAATAATATAGCCTCAATTAAAAGAACTGGAATCTACAGCACATCGTGTAAATCGACATAAGCGTAATCTTAATCAAAGTTATAGCCGGAGTCGAAGTACAGTTAAAAAGGAAAAAGTAAGTCATTATTGTGTTTAAGTTGCAATATCGTGATATATATATATATATATATATATATATATATATATATATATATATATATATATATATATATATATAGTTTATGACATTATCTTAGCACTGATTCATAAACAAATTAAATGAATAGGTTAAATTTTTTTCGAGATAGTGGTTATTGGTGAAATGTTAGATAAGCATTTCATATGTTTAGCTGCTGTTCGGTGAAATGTAACGCACTCCTACTAGGAATGTAATGCAGTATCCAGTATCCACCGATATTGTATCTATTAAGTAAGTGGGGGTTATTTTAACTGTCAGTGGTTTAGCATTTAAATCGATACATATCACGTTTGAGTTTTATTATAATCAAGTTACACTCGGCTGACGAGTCTTAAACGAAGTGAAATGTGAATTTACAATTTTTCTGATAGCCATTTTCCAAATGAGAAAGAAAAAATCGAATAGACTAAATAGCACTATACAATGAAAGTTTTGAGTAATAACACATTTTACGACGACCTACTCAAGTGTTTAGTGCCCGTTAATTTTTCAACTGCTCAATTATTCCAATGAAACTATTCACGTTGGATATGTCTCAACTAAATAATTATGAATATTAACTATAGAAGTTGATTTGCTCAAACTGAACTATAAAACAAAAAAAGATTTACAATTATGAACAATTCAATACAAGTAATTATTAAACAGATAGGAAATAAATAAACAGACTAATGAATTAATCATTAATTTTTGCTCTGAAAACTGAACTCAAGTATAGTAATTTCGTAGTCTTCTACTCAATCTCAATTTTCGTTAGTTGTGATTTGGCTATACTTTGGTTATACTGTGTAATATGGTTCAACTGTCGTAGATATGTTATCCAGTTAGATTTTCAATCTATGATAGAGCCATTCATTTTAAATAAATAAATAAATCCAATTTCTTTTTTTGTTTTCTTCGATAATAGGCGAATATTAATTACAGGACATCTTCGATGAATTATGATTATTTAACTAATTGTTTAATGGATAAAATGAATACAGTTGAAAATGAGTAAGACTGTTTGATGTTGTTTAAATTTTCATTTAGTTCTAGACAGGTACAGACATTTCTGAATGGAACTTTTTAAAACAATAATTGTTTAGTATTATAGTAGTGATTTAATTCTTCAGTCATAAATGAGGCTTTCATTGTTTAGTTTTCTTTTGAGCAAAGAACATTGTTAGCATAAATGTTTGCAAGAAACAATTATTGAATCAGTGCCTACTGTAATGTGTAATACTAGTTGAGGTTGATATTAATGAGAGAGGCACTATGTGATATTCAATCTAAGTTAATGACATCCGTTCATGAAGCCATTAACTTTCAGTCTAAGGCATATGAGGAAATGTGAACTTTAGCCATTAAGATTTCTACATATGTTCATAGTTATGTACAGATCTTGAATAAAGCCTATCACAAAGTTTAGTTGCCTAAATCAGACTGGTTTCATTGTTGGAAGCCTGTTTCATTTGTTTGAGTCTGATCTCTTATGTAGTCTAACTAGGTCGACTTAGCTTAAACAATCAATTTCTATAAATCATCTGGTTTGAGTAGTGTGGTATATTATACCTTTTCAATAGTTCTGAATTTTTCTGTATGGTAATCCGATATTAATTAATTAATTTATAATTTTCTTCTTAAGAGGGACGATGGCTTGTTGTGATGCATTGTTTGTCCTTGTGTCGACGTATAAACAATTCAGTGATCGAATATATTCTGTAAGTCTCTTTTCCGGTAAAACCGAAAAAATAATTGACATTTCATTTTTAATGGTTAAGAGCATGAGTCATTTGAAGCTAGACCACCATGAAAAACCTGGAAGCACTGGACGGCCGTTTCGTCCTATCATGGGACTCCTCAGCAGTGTGCATGACCTCGCCCCCTGCGAGATTCGAACCCAGGACCTACTGTAATTAGCGTATACAAATTTGTATGTTTATTATAAGCAAATGTTTATTTCCAATTTAAGATGTCTGATTTATAAGTAATAAGGTTTCCTGAAAAATGGTAAAATGATCTATACTCTATAATTCAACAATATCTAGATAATATATCCATTTTTCAACAGTTCTCTATGACTGTTTGATGTAGCAAGTAACTTAATAGAAATCTTGATTTATCATATTAACGTTAAGTTTTTCCTGCTAACTAACACCAAGTTAGCATTGTCAATCCTTGTCATAACATAGTTATGTCTCATAAGATAGTTGAGCAATATAGTGATTTCAATAAAGCAAGGTTTGCAAACTACTGAGTGCTGGCTCAGTGGTCTGTATCTTAAGCATTAACCATGATCTATTAATTAGTCTCTCAATAGTCAATTAATATCCTGTTATCTAGTTGACGGTGTTGATCTATTTATTGACGTTAACTCACCTATTCAACTGATATTAGAACACAATATACCCGTTCAGAAGAATAGGCATTTTTGTTTTAGAATAACATGCTTGTATGCGAAATATGAACAGCGAAATAAACATGATTGACTGCCGTGGACATTTGAAGGAAACCAGTTCTTAGGTCATTTATTCTATAATTAATATGTAGACTTTATCAATAGTATCGAGTTACAGAAGGTCACGGTGATTCTTTGGATTCATATTTCTAGTCAAGTAACGCTTTAAACTGTAGTAATATATGATAAGAGTTCGAGTTCCGATTAAGACATCAATTCACTTAGGATTGGAAGCATATTTCTGACAAGCACAAACTAGTAAGAAATGCAAATCCAGTTATATCTTTTGCTCTATCGCTTCCAATCACTTAAAATCACCATCGTTTGTTTATGTTCTATCTAACTATATTTTCAAGCAAAGTTTCGATCTGCATCTAGCCACCATCCAGTTGTTATTTTGGTCACTACATTTTCTACTTTCAATAAACGTCTAGGATTCTCTTTTTTTAAATCATTATGTATACAAATTTATTTTAATCTTATTTAACCATACATTTTGTCAGATATTAAATTATTTGTTTGAAGAAGTCAACAAACTACACGAATGTGCTGCGAGAGAATTGAATATGTCCTATGCTAAATCATTAAAAAATATGGAAAATGCAACTCAAGCAACTAAATTGAAAGCATCAAGTATAATGAGTTGTCAAGATCATGAAGGCTCTACATGCAGAAGTTCATCAAGAGGACGAATAATGTCTAGGTATGTTTATATATATAACAAGAACGAAACACGACCTCCATCATGGATTACGACCGTGTAAATAATAACTTCCACTTCATTTTGGATGGTTTCTAGGTCCAATTAGCAAACAAGAGTGCAGTTTATCCTCACCTCATTTATTTGTTTTATTCATTTTATGAACAAAGCCGAAGGATAATTTACTCGGACTAGTATAATTTAGGTTAATTGATTATAGACAATCATTTTTTGATTAAAACAGGAAACCACAGAGAAGTTAATTTTACATTTTCTTGAAAATAAAACTGTAGGAGATTAAATTAAACTGAAACATTCAAATATCAATCATCACATTGGTTTTAGTCAATTTAATTTCACATAACATATAGATATCAAGCAGTTTATAAAAGTGAGATGCTGGAGAAGATTTGTAGCTCAGGTGGATGATTTTGATGGAGTTTATAAAAGTGGAATGAAACAGCTGTTCAGCACTTAGTTACATCAGTTTGCCTAATTATTATGTTGATATTTTACATTAATCTAGCTAGTTTATTGACTTCTTATATGTTTGATAATTAAGAGTAGCTGGTACATATCTTGTTTGAACTTGTTAAATATTTATTATCCCTCAAAAAATTCACCAGAAGTCAGGAAAGTACCCGAAATAACTTTCAGACAATCATGGTCTTGGGAAACTCCTTGGGTAAACTTACTTGCTTACGCCTGTTATTCTTTGTGAAGAAGCATAGGTCGCCTGCTAGGATTTTCCATCAAACTCTGCTCTGGACAATCGTTTCCGGTTGTTTTCAAATGCTATTCACTCTTTTGATTTCTGCCTCCAATTTTTAACACAATTTGTTCCTTTGTCTTCCTCTTTTCTGTTTTCATTCATGACTCTGAATTAGTGCTTACCTCGTGATGGAGTTTGGTGATTTCTTAAATTTTTGTACTATTCACCTCCAGCGTCTAGTAGATAATCTAGGTAGTAAACTATTTTTTTACTTAATCCAATGTCTCAATTGGAAAATTTGTTTATATTTCTTGCGAATATTCTAGAATCGTTTGTATCCCCAAAAGCCACTTTTAAACCCATAAAATCCCTTTATTTGTCATTTACATGAAATAAACCTTAGAAGTAAAGCTTATTTCAAATTTCTGTCTTCCATGTTCATTGGAGTTTAGAGATTGTAAGAGTTCAATGATCGATTAAGACATTTATGTTCAAACAATTTTGTAGGTCGAAATGTATCAGAGTTAAATGAACTGCAACAATATTGAATATATTTATATATAAATCACTCTTTAAATGAATATTAATGCTATACTCTGTTTCTCAATACTCATTCATTGAAAATAACACATCATAACTTTATACTTTATGACTGATATCAATAATAGCTCCACATTCCCTTCAATCAATAAAAACTAATGATTAATTCTATACTGTTTTATATGTTCTTTTATGCATTCACCAAGAAAAGAAAATTTCTTTCAGTAATATTTACTTTGTAATCGGTATACTATTAAAACAAATCCAAATATCGTCATGTTACAAATGAAATTATAATTAACTGATATTGTGTAGTTTAATAATAAATTAAAGTTCTTAAAGGTACTATGGTGAACAAAAACATGGGTGGGCACAATGGATTAGATTTGACACAAAATTACAGGACATGTTAATAAAATCTAACAATCATATAATAAATGCTTAATCTGCAAAATGTGCATCACTTGTTTCCAAATGAATTAGATTTCATTGTTCTTTCATTTTCATACAAATTGCACTCTGTTTCCATTCTTTACTGTTCGATCCTCTTGTCTCTCTGCTGTCAGACATTTCGTTCACGACTAACGTCATATGCTACTTATGTCGATATAAGTAGCAAACACCACACTCGTCCCCACTTTAAAGCAGTCGTTTTTGCGGTGGTTCATGCTCACCGTGTTAGTACATGATATTATGTAAGTTGTAAATCAGTGATTAATTTACATTAGATCGTACTACTTAGGACTCACAAACAAAGATAATGTTACATCCTAGCGAAGATTAAATTACGAGTAACTGCTGACGCCTATTAATGGACTAATATCTATATATTCTTATAGTATTGCTATTCAACCATTAAATTGTTTATATTTATATTCCTCCTATAATAAGCTTCATTTTGACATAATTTATTATGATACGACTTAATGTTCTTATGTTATACTCAGTTTATTAATTACTGTCTCCGATGTTCACAGCTACTTTTTGGTTGATTGTGTATGAATGTTATTTCTTATTTTATGGTGCGTTGCGGTCTGTTTGGTTGATATATAAACCCATTATGTCTGAAATAAATGATTCAAATAGTGGAGGCTATTGTTGGCATTCTGGACTCAGCTGGACGGGCTAGGCGATCAACGGACCAATAGGACGCTAGGCTGATCAGATCGAACGAACGTCATTGATTTAGTGATAATTAGCGGACCATAAAGTTACAACAGATAAAATATCTGTCCAATATTTCATGGTTTTAAGTAGTTTTCCAGTCGATATCCGTAAAATCTATACAATAGTCGCATTCATTCATTCTAAAGTTTTATACTATTAATTTGTTGATATTCAAGATCAGTAGACACCATATTCATTGAAGAAGTTAATAAATGTCTGGACACATTAATTTGATGAATGATATAATATTTGAAGGGATAAGTACTTGAGCACAAGTCACAGTGCAAGCATTGACTCTTAGACAGAGTTAAATCATGTTGGCGAATTTGTAATAGGACGAAAATTTTTTCTGGATTTGAATGTTAGTCATAATCTAAGTATACAAAAATACTTGTAACAAAGAAATAATATTGAAGCATCCCCCAGAATATACATGTATAAAAAAAGACTGACTAAAATTCATTCCCGAAAATCAATAAAAGGATAATATAAAAATCCTTACGAATCGTAAATAATCGTTACTTCCCTTAGCCTCCCACCTTCTTAGTCTTCTCTCTACTTATGCTGCTACGGATTATAGCAACTTGAAGAAATACTCGTTCACCCTATGATGTTTGTTAAAAAACCGATAAAGTTTTATTATAATTTCTTAGTGTTGTGTTCGAAAAACTTATACTTCAGGTTTTTTTTTCGTATGATAATCTATTGACAGCGTGGATTTTTAAGTAGTCAAACAAAAGTAATCAATCTTCAGTATCTGAATTGCTTTAGCTTATTTTTTGATATCATGATATTTATAAACAAGACGAGCATCTTTTGCAAGATTATCCTTCTTCTATTACATCATAATTAATTCAGTGTGATTGTGTTTATATTCTTGTAACGAAAGATAACACTAAACTCTGTTGATTGATACCTTTCAAGTGGAAGTATTTGACAGGGAAAATCGTATCTAAGAAGTAAATCAAACTGTTAAGAATTTATTCACTGTAATACTTGTGCATAAACCACGGCCTATGGCAGACAAGCTCTCACTTGGATTATTGACATTTAATGGTATTTTACCTTGTTTTCTCTTCTTCTTAGTTGTAGTTTATCTCAATATATAGTTTGTAAAGTTAACAGATTTTTCCTTCAATTTCTTAAAGAGTTGTCGCTTCATTGAAAATTAACGTTGGCTGGTTGAGGACATATTAAAGATACATCTTGATAACATTTTTCCGTAGATGCACACCTTATTCAGCCTCAGGATCTATCTCGTTTGTGGATCATTCTGGTTAACTTCAACATTATTATTGAGCAAAACACCAATAATGTCTTAGGACGATGCAAAAGACAAATTTGTATATTGTTGTCTGACTTCTTGTTAATGAAAAAATTGCGCTTTCAGTTCATAGTAGTTTGAGGCCTAAGCATGACTATAACCACTGATAAGAATGTCTCCCTTCATTATCTTTAACTTCGAAGTATGTCCTCACAAGGAGAGTATTGAAAGTTAACATCTAAATCTTAGACTGGATTACCGAATGTACGATTTCAGCTGGGGGATTTAGACATCTATGATTTACTGCTAATGGTATGCATAGACTTTGAGACAAAATATAACGCATCAATCTTTTTTTGGGACTAGCTATCATGTGTTCTATGACTTTATTGTAGTGTTTTAACCACTAAGTAGAATAATCAAATGTGTTTCTCCTTTAAAATAACCCACTTCTATTTAAACATTAGGATAATATCACAATGCTAATAAAAAATATCATTATAAAGATGTAAGTATAAATAACTTGCTCTAAAAACTCTTATTCACAAGTCCTGAAAATATTATTATGGATAAGTTCATCATATTCTGAATGATATCTCTACTCTGTATTAAAAAAGCGATTGTCCAGTGTGAAATTCAATACAATTATTCTGAAACCCTCAATGCTGTTTCATTTAGGTAAATCCAATTATGTAACTTTGTAATAATCGAACTAAAAATATATCTTATTACAAACTAATAAAAATTTTCTTTTTATTGATATTTAAGATCTATCTGAACTGTGAACACAAATATACTGAGACTATTCAAAGATCTTATAGCATCTATACCTGTTTAACTTATTATTAATCCTTTAGTTATCATAAAAACCAAAAGTATACCTCCAAACTAGATTTCTAATAATAGTCGTTTATATGATGCTCAACATTAAGAGGTTTAATTAAATTAGAAAATATCACTTAGTGGAAATGATATATATCTATTTACATTTTTATGTACAATCTAATGCAGTTTATGCATAGTTAAAAAATCGAGAATTCCATCAAACTGGATTATTTACACCATTCTGTAGGTTGAAAATTCCTTTCTAACATTTAAACAACTTGATGATTGAGTAAAAGTTTATATTACTAATACTAGTTGAACTAAGATAGTTTAAATAAACATACATAAAATGAAATGAACATTGTTGATCTAATAATTAGAAGCTAAGTAATTAAGTGTTTATATAATACAGATTCATCTATTTTATTTTCTATAATAATTAACTTAACAGTCATATTCGTTTGGATCTTCCTACTGATGTCTAGGACGCGTTGACGTTTAAAATGAAAGGTGATGGGCTCTAAAACCGAAGCTATTATCAACAATGAAAAGCATACACATCCAGCTGACGAGTCTTAAGTAGGACAAAACGCGCTTTCTGAATTCCACTGCTAGTCATCATCCATTTCTGCCTATTAGTAGATATATTTTATATAAGTTAGAACATATGTTCCGAAGAAAGAACAGTTATGAGTTTCTAAGATTTTCTAAAATTATTTTCCATCGACAATTTTATCAGTTTGTTATTTACAAGTTGTTTTTTAAAGGTTTGTTACGGACTGAACAAAAATAAACGATAAAAATGATCAAGCGAATATTATAACACCAAACGCTGACAATGAAGCAAATTTGAAGTAGTGAACATTCATGATTGAGAGGGTTTAAACCTTCACAAATTTGCGGTTACGAACGGGTAATTGTAAATAATCATAATAACTTAATGTTTTCTTTCAAGAGGTATATACCAAATTAAGATCAAGCAGTCAAACTTTAGAAATATCAGTATTGTTGGTTGTATCTTGATAGAATAAGAGAAGCGTGATTGAGAACGAAGAGTTATTTAAGAAATATAGTGTGTTTTGAATGATAATCATTTTATAAAGTGTTGTTGCATCACGAATCCAACAAGATGATTTAAACAAAACGTTCCACAATCGGTGATGTACAGATTTGGACGAGACATATCCACAAAATATGTGTAAAAATCAAGTTTTTCTAACCATTTGTACAGATATGAATGTTTCTTTGAAGGCTATTTTATCATAGATTGATACCCAGATGGATGAATGTTTTGTCTTATTGGTTGTCTTTATGTTTTTTATACCAAACTCCTGTCGTTTTTTTCAATTCTTAGTGATTTCGATTCGAGTGATCGTCCAGCCACAGAAAACACTGAACATGATCCACTTTCAGTGACTGAACTTAGCAGTGAATTATTGGAGATAATAAAACGTCAGGTAAGCATTGAGATATACATCTCTTATCAAGTATATTCCATAATTTTCATGTTTGATTTAGCGTTGTTTATTTTGTTTAGAATGAACATTTATCAAAGACTGGTTTTTACTGAACCAAATGATTTATTCTCTTTGCTTAATCGCATAATAACTATCAATTTTGTAGCTCAAAAGGATCACTGTACTATAGCTTTTTTCCCTGAAACAGATGATTTAGTCGTGTAACTTTGATGGACAATTTTTTCAGCTAACATCATCAACACAAACTTCCAGAAAGAATTGAACTGTCAGAATTTCTTCTCCAAATGTCTAGATGCATTGATGTAACTAAAAATATACTGTGACATAAATTATTCTGGGGAAAATATTGAAATCTTGCACAAAGCCATCACGGTGAAGAATAAAGAACTATTAGAATCATGACTGATAGTTAACACTCAATAAACATTTAAATAAACTCAATTTTTCAACAAATTAATGAAATGTGATAAAAAAAGGTAAAGAGTCAAGGGTAAAAAATGTGCAGATAATAGAAAAACCATTATCTAACAAGCAAGTAGTTCAATTCTGTGTCAACTGAATATGCTGCTAGTCATATGTCTACTAATTCTAGCAGTTTATCCCTTTAATAATCTTATAACAATGATATTGTCTAGAAAGTTACATTATGAGAGCTTTACAATTACACCATTCATCTTAGCGATTGTAATTGTTCCACGACTAGTAGCATCAGTAGTGTAGTCAACCCTACTAACAACAAAACTTGTAAGTAGCATGTAGCAAAACGTGACCTCGAAGTTGTCAGACACAACGAAGAGTTTCAGTGCAAGAGAAACGCGGCGTTCGCACAACACTTAAAAACCAGATGAGAAGACTGTTCACACTTCAAAACACATTAAAGGATGCAAATGGACGATTTAAGTCTATGTATACGTATTATGTAAACGCAGAAGAAAAAAGGAAAGACTTGTCCTCTTATAACATTTGTGATTGATCTATGTTCGAGTATATGATATTTCCAATAAGTCAACAAAAGTAATTCAACGTCAAGGCTGGAATCGATAGTTATGAATTTATTTATTATTTGTAGAGGTTGCCGGATTTTCATAAGTGAAATAACGAACTGATCCTAGTTAGACTTCTAATAAAAGCCTGAAAGCGCTAGATGGCGGTTTCATCTTAGCATAGGATTCCTCAGTAGTGTTCATACAATACCCTACATGAAGAAGATAAAACCAGAGCCACCGGTTTCATGTATAAACCTTAACTTCTAAACCACTGAAACAGAATCCATAGACATACAAGTTTAATTTCAACCAATCTACGACATTGTGCAACCCTCCTAAAGTTCTAGTTAGAAGCCGTTACTACTGGAACTAAATCATTGTCGAGTGTGAGACAGTTATCCACCAAAGACAATCGATAAGGGTTGTGCAATGTCATGGATTGACTGAAATTAAACTTATATATAACCGGATCTTGATCCAGTGGTTAAGGGATTAAGCTTTCGTTCTTCAGACCGAAGAGCCTGGTTTAGTTTCCTGTCTGCGGGATCGCAGACACACCTGAGGAGTCCATACTATGATGAAACGCCCGTCCAGTGCTTCTAGGCTTTCATTATCAATCTAGTTAATATCTTTTTGTAATTTATACTATGAAGTTAAAGCAAATTACTAAATCCATTAACATACATTTAAAAATTCTGGATCATTTTAGTGGTAAAAGTACTATATAGCGACGGCTTGAAAACAGCCGTGATAAATTTCCAGATAGCTTCAAGCCAATGAAAATACAGCCTTTATAAATAAATAGTTTATGGGAAAGTGTAAACAAACTTTACATAATTGATGTTTTCGACAGGTTACTCTGATTGCAAATAAAAAGAACAATAAAATAAAAACTCGTCTTGGTGAATATAAATTCTCGATACCTTCAAACTTGCCAAAAAAATTCAAACAGATTTTTATAAGTCCCCATATTGTCCTCAGTAAATGTTATGTTTTGAGGATTAGGATTCTCATCATTAACTGACATCACATATAAGGCAAAAATACTCTGTAGACGTATAGATGAATAAATTTCGCTCAAAAACACAGGAAGACCTATCTGATTAGTTTGTCCATAAAACATAGTGCCATCAATTTTAAGTCTGTTTCAGGATTAAGGGCTCTAGCTTAGTAAGTAAATATAGTATCAAGTTGCCTGTTACACATAATCTAAGAAGACAGAACTAAGCATCTGATACCTTCAAGAATATTATTTTCACTCGATTGCGATAAAATATAGTTTTTCACCGCATTTCTAAATGTCTTAAGCAGTATACAAAAGTACTTACACTGCTCATTATGCAAGATATTTGAATTTTTCGCGGAAATATAAGGTGGTATTTTCATTTGTGTTTCAATAGCCACGAGAGATGCGCTTGGAAAGCGCTCACTTTGTGCGGCCTATGTAATTTACTCCACAAGATTATCATTTTCACGTTTTTAATTTATTCTTCACCCTTATACTCGTTAAGTGAACAGTTACATTACTAATATTTGATCTCATCCCATCATCTTTCTTCAATTCATGATTATTAAGCAATTTTTCTTTGACATATCACATGATGTAATCTTCCTCCTATATTTCAATAGATTATTTTATTTGTAAACTTGCATTGCATACAATTGTACAGCTTAAGTAAATGATATTGTCGAGAACATTTTCTTCACTGAATTGTTTCAATTCATTTTCAATGACACAATGGATTATTTTCGATATTTGATTAGTTTTAGTTGGATTGATTATTTTTTTCAGTTTTAACGTTTAATTGTACATTGTTTATTCTATCATTAAATTAAATTTCATTTTCACCTGCATCGAACTGGAAATAAAAACAAAATTTAGAAATCATCTGACGAAACAATCGGTTCGAACCATTCTTATCATTGTTTGAACAGAAAATCATCATCAAACTCATCATCACTAACATTACCGCTACCGCCACCACCATCCAATCAACCGCCATCATCTAAAACAAACATAAAGACAATGGTCACAAATACAACAAATGAATCACAGTCTAAAGAATCTCTATCGCAGAAAGATACAAACGGACCATTGTCTAAGATATCCTCTTCATGGTCATCACAATCATCAACATCACTATCGACAACAAAGTCAAATGAAATCATAGATTCACATGATCACGAAAATTCTAATGATACGACTACTTTAAACTCTGTTAGTATTCAAATGAAAAAAGTTGATGATACTAGCAATCCTGATATGAAAAGCAACAATTGTGATGATACTAACAGTGATAAGACGAATAACAATAATGATGGTAATAAAGAAAAGTTTACATTGACAAACAACCTGTTGTTCAATTCAACCTCATCAGCATCGACTTATTCCATTTGTCAATTTCCGTATTATTCCAATCAAAAATCATTACAGTACAATCAAAACTATCCCTATGATCTTAAGTCACCAATTGTTTCAACAATATATTCAATAAGAAATAATAATCCCAGTAATAACATACTTACTGAAAACACCAAAACGTTATTACCCATTATGAAATCATCAAATGTATGTAATAAAAGTTATGCTACTGAAAAGTCACTAAGTAGCATGTTTTATTTAAGTAAAAATAACATGAACTCATCAAGTGATTGTTGTCCTTACGACAATAATACTGAAATTAGTTGTATACCAATAATTGTCCAAAAAAATTCATGGTCAAACACTTCTCCCATTAATAATAATGATAAAAACAAAAACGGCAACAGTAGTAATTATAGTATTCGTGAAGTCGATTCGGATGCTATTAATAGCAATGATAATCACAGGACTCTATATCGAGAACCATTGTTAAATGATAATGAAGTTAGATCACCAAAACAAAACATTATATCTTGGGGTTTTTTACCGTCACCAATAACTGAGGTAAGTTTCATTTGATCAACACCAATGAATTACTTATCAATGTAATCGGTTTACTAGGAAAGTAAGTTTTCTTTGAAAGGTTTTTTGTATGTTCCAATACATTACTGACATAAAACAAATCCATTAAATAGGTTTATTTTTCTTGCATCAAGGAGGTTAATGTGATCTAAAAACTAAAATGATCAAGACTATCCAACCAAATACTTCCATCACTCCAGTATTGTTAATTGCTAAACAATTTAGATGACCTCAAGTATTCGCTTATTCTAGATTAATGAAGAAAGAACCGACTTTTATTCATTGTCGGATTAATATATAGCTTTTGTCTTTGACACTCGGTGCCATATCTCGCGAGACTGTTCTTTTTAATCGGAAAATATTCCGGATTATTTGGTGATGTGGTATTTTATCAGTAGCTTGGGTGAATAAATAACCAAAAATCCATTTCTTTTGAATGACCCAGGCTTATTCAACACTAAGACAGACTAAACATAGATTACTAGAATGAATTTATCATGTGAAAAGTGTTTATTTGTCGGAAACACTGTTAAGAGATGATTAGGCATGAAGTTTTTACAAATATTAAGTAACAAACTCGGATATTAGAAAAAGACTAAGCAAGTAATTGTTAATACCTTATTATTTAGAAAATAAAATACCTAACTTTATTTTTAAAATATCCAGCATAAAATAGACATGAAAAAATTATTGTTTTGCATGGTATCAATACTGAGACAAAAAGAATTTGTTAAGCTTAGGAGATTAGAGTCACATTTTCTCCCTATGCGATTATCCCAGACAGAAATGATTTAATCTGTATACCTTTTAATACTGTCCTTTTCGTTTAAAACCAACTAATTTCAGTTGTGAGATAGTAAGTCACTGATGACAATGGTGGATGTGTCGTTCAATTTCGTGGATTAGTTAAAGTTAGACATTAACACCGTTGGATGCCGGCTCAGTGGTTTAGTAGTTAAGCGCCTGTCGCGAGAGTGATAGGTCCTGAGTTCGAATCTCGCGGGGCGGGGTCGTGGATATTCACTGCTGAGGAGTGTCATACTAGAACGAAACAGCCGTTCAGTGCTTACAGGCTTTCCATGGTGGTTTAGCTTCAATGGACTCATGATCTCAACTTTTTAAATTCATTCAAACCATTAGAAGAGTTATCATTTGTATATTTTAGTTTGGTTAAAATTTGTACGATACATTTAAACAAGTAATGAAAATTTGAATGTGAAAATATTAGCCAGTAGGCATCCAAAATGCAAAACTACTATCCTACATTTTGAGGGTATATACACAAGTGAGTAGTAAGACTTGTATTACAACTGATTAATATCTTTTTTGTGAATGATACATGGAAGCTGGCTAAATTTTGGTTGCATCAAGACAACCATTAAATTACAGTAGACCAACACCCAGAGTCATCTATGAAGCAACCGATCATACTACTGTTTTTTTCTAATTAAACAAGTCTACTAGCTGTGTTTATCACTAAGAAAAAAAAACATTTCTTATCATTTTTTCATTGATCTCCAAAACGTGGATAAGAATAACATTAATCGATTTAATTATGTTATCGAGAAAATTCCTAAATAACTTCATAATCAATAGAGTCTGACTTATTGAGACTGATAGATATTCATTACAAAATTTATACTCTGGTAACTAACCCGAAAATCAATCAACATTTTAAATTATTACTGTTTGTTTTTTCAACAAAAAAAAACATTTAACTGAAGTTGTTTGGTTTTTTTACTATCAACAGAATGAATTCCCATTGATTATATAAGAATATTTGATCAATACTTAAGTATGTATTTTTTTTAATAATGTTTGTTTACATTTTGTTCACATGTTGGATGTTAATTTCGCTTACAAATAAACAAAGGAAGAGGATGAGTGAATCAGAAAAATCAATGGTAAAAATATTTACCTATTTAGAACTGTCCATTATCTGAATAGATGGTCATGAATTATGTCGATAAAATGAAAGAAAAATACTTCTATTTTCTCATAATAATTGGTTCCATTGAATGTAATTGAAAAAAAATGTTATTACTTAATAATATATTACTTTAATCAAATATCAGTAGAATAATGACTAACTGACTGACTGACTACCTATCTGTTTTTTATAATATATTGACATGAGTATTGCCGTTTACTTTGCTTTGAAATATTTTCAGAATCATTACTTTCTCTTATTTTTTGGAATAAATAATAACTTTAACTTTTGTTAAACATTTAATTAATTAAATACGCGTATTCATAATAATTTGGACATTAATCTTACAGCGCATACATAAAATTACATATTATGTGTTCAGAGAGATTACCATTTGATAGTGGTTAGAAAAAAGTTCACAATGCCAAATAATAAAACAAATGATTATATATATACTCAACAAAGGTATTATTATGATGAATTGACTGAATATCTTGTTTAAAATCGACTGGGAACAAACAATATGATAATTTGTTAATATCATACGCAGAGAGGTGAGAGGACAGATATTTTATCTATCCAATTTAGTTCTCATATAGGTCGTTGTAAGATTTGGGTTTGTTTATGTAATTATCTGACTCCTTGCTTAGCAATATTGTTGTTTTATGTGTGATGACATCACAGTCTAATATCTTTAATTTCTGTACTCTTCTGTTTCCAGTGATTCAGAAGTTATGTCCTCAGAATGATAATTTGACATGACCAAAGATTCTAATCAGCATCACGTACTATATTACCAGTTAGACCGGTGACCTATTTGTGAAAGTTACACAATGAATATTGATCGAGGACTTAACACTTATTGATCCTCGAGACACTGCTAATCCAGTTGCCAATAAGAAGACGAGGATAGGTGGCACATTAGTCCTGTTTTGCTCAGTTCAATTATGACTCAAAACTCATATAATCATTTATCGGAAATGCCTGACCATGTAGAACATCAAATAAGAAATCACACTTGAAGGGCAATCATGCTATAAATGCGGAGTGAACCGTACATAATTAGAGGTTAATTAAAACGTATAGCAGGTCAGTAGGTTCACTGAAATATATCCTCTAGATAGATTTACTAATTATACAAAAAAGATATTAACAATCCAGAAAATAGCCCCGAAAGTTTCAACTTCCCTAATATTCACCCCCTTATAACAGGACATACCTTTCACTAGAAAGTGATAAAATCTCTTCACCATCATTTAATACTAAAATGTGTGAGTTGATGTCAGCTTGAACAAAGTTCATTTCAATAAGTCGAATACAAGCTTATATGTCGATCGTCGATTAAATGTTGTTGAGTAACCGCCAAGATATAAAATAATAGGAGCTGAAGAAGCGCCGTCGTATGTATGGCCCTAGAAATATTGGTTTTGAAATAAATTTATAACTTTTATCAAAAAGCAAAAATATTCGGCGAAGAAAATCCTTTTTCCGATTATTACGTTCTCAAAAACTGTACAACCTCACCTACGTAAAATAACGAAAGCCATCAATAAATTTTGTATGTATTCAAATAATGAGTGAAAACCATAATGTTTTGCAGTTTGTAATAGTTATTTTAGTTTACAATCCGTTAAATTAACGCTTAAGTTACGTATACAGATTTGTCATAATCACCCAACGAATCATCAACATCGTGGGGGCTGATGAAAATATGTATCGTTTCAAATCACCAATGTTAGAAAATTAACAAGGTGAAACGGGGATGAGTGGGAGTAATTGTTTTAGAAAATGAGGTGGGATAAAATTGATCACGAAACGTTTCTCAAATTAGATCTTTTAATCACGTAAATTACAGATCTTTTGAAATCATTGTCATCTAATTCGCACAACTTAGAAAGTTAATTGTATTTATGAAAAAAAGCGTCGTAAAACTGAAGCTTAGGAGAAAAACGGACAGTTGTCACTTCCATGACTCTTGAAGAGTTTACAGGTTAAAGTAGAACCAAAGAACTTATAACACTATGACTAACAAATTTTACCTCAATTATTGACAACATTCACCATCAAAATCCGTGGCGTATTTCAGTGTTAAGAAACAAAGTATTATCAAATAGACATTCAAAAGTATTTTAGTAGATGTAGCTTTAACAGTTAATGCATAAGGATATAATCATTTTCATCGTGAAATAAGTGTAACTAAAGGATTTCACTAACGTGTGACAACGAAATACCTAAGCATGTATGTAGAAAAATAGGGATATGATTAAAATTTCCTAACTGGATAGAATCAAAATTGTTAAACCAGTAATTTTCGAAGCTGTTTTCGTACATAAAGTGATGGGCGGAATGAATTGATATTTGCAATTTGAGAGAATAGTTTTGGAGATTTTATGTAAACCATGATGATGTTCGCCCCCAAATGCCCTGGTATGGCCGAGAGCGGGGAGGGTTCGCCCTCCCTCTCGAAATACTCTCACACGGCCACGCGTATACAGCCTCTGCCAGGGAAGTCCTACTCACTGCCTTCTCGTGGCGGGGGTGTTGTTTACGAAAATGAGAGGACGAAAAGCGAACGTCCGGCGCTATAACCGGATCCCAATTCTATGGTGCACATGGGCTCCATTATCCTGAAGGAACAAATGGCGTATGAACCAACTTTTGGTCACCGGCTTCCATGGGACTGCATCTCCTCACGATGCTCCACTGCCTTGTGGACTAGACCTTTAGGTCAAAGGCTCGGGGTGTGGCCCCCTAAGAAAACCACCTGCTTCGGTTTGGGCACCCGGGCAGTATCTCAGCCCACACACCAAAACATGATGAAATATTCGCTTACGGAAAATATTCGTTCTTCTCTGACTAACATTGAAATGACTGATACTATTATTATTATTATTATTTACTACGTCATTTACTCACTATCTCCTATTTCTACTTTTTTTATCCGTTTCGACTCAGACAGCAGCTCGCCTATGGTAAAAATTCAGCTTTATCTAAACGTTCTCGAGTCACTGCCTGGTTTGAAAATTGTATGTTACCATCGAATACGAGTACTGAAGCAGTCTTTCTGAAACCACGCGCACCATTCAAACTGGCTGCCTTTAACGTTCGCACACTTATGCAGGTCGGACAACAGATAGGGCTGGCAATGTCTTTGGAAAGTCTTAATATTGATGTGTGTTGTCTATCCGAGACCCGTATTCAAGACTCTGGTGAAGTACTACAAGTTCGCTCTCCATCTGTCGCTCCAAAAAGCTTGTTTTACGTGCGTTTATCCGGGAACCCTGTGGCATCTTCGTCTGGTCTTGCTGGCGTTGGTGTCGCACTAAGCGCAAGAGCTGAGGCAGCACTAGTCGACTGGATCCCCATTAACAGTCGGTTATGTGCTGTTAGACTAGAAAGTACCATCAGAGTGAGAAGAAATCGGCGTGAGAAACGATGTATTTTCGTCATCTCCGCCTATGCCCCGACAGATTGCAGCCCGGATGCAATCAAGGATGAGTTCTACCACCAGTTATCTGTTCTTCTCCAGAAAGTGCGTTCGACAGATATTGTAGTACTAGCCGGAGACTTGAATGCTCAGGTCGGGCGTCTAGGCACAGAAGAGAGTCGTTTAGGTGGCCGATGGGGACTCGTTGGTCGCAGGACAGATAACGGGGAACGTCTACTGCAACTATGCACAGACCACAACCTGTTTCTGGCTAGCACTAACTTTCGGCACAGTCATCGCCGATGTGCCACCTGGCGTCCCCCTTCTGCATCTCAAGCCTGGACTCAGATTGATCACATCGCGATCAGCTACCGCTGGCGCGGTTGTGTACAAGACTGCCGCTCCTTTTGGAGTACCTATCTGGAATCTGATCATGCCCTGGTCTGCGCCAATCTTACCTTACTTTTCAGTGGACAACGAAGTGACCGCCACCAAAGGATTGATGTTAGCAAGCTGGCTGCAACTTCTGTTGCTAGTAAGTACCGAGCCGAGCTAGCTTCTAGGCTAGCCACTATTCCACCGAAAAGTATAGATGAGCATTGGTTGCAATTGCATGACGCCATGAAAATGGCGGGTACAGTCTGTTGTAGGTTTGCGAAACGTCCCGCTTACAAGCACTGGGTTTCTTCTGGTTCCTTACAACTGATTGAAGCCCGTCGGTCTACTCCGGGTGACCGTGAGTTTGACCACAGACGAAGGTTGTTACGTAATGAAATCGGGCAAAGCTTGCGTAAGGACCGAGAAACCTGGTGGTCGGAGCGTGCCAGTGAGTTGGAAGCAGCAGCTGCATCTGGTAATTACCTGAAGCTCTTCCAACTCATCCGAGCCACCGGCAGCAAGAAGTCTGGTGTGAGCGAAACAATCTGCGAGGATGACGGAACGCCAATCACTAACATCCATCGACGTCTTGGACGATGGGCAGAATTCTTTGAAGGGCAGTTCAACTGGCCTGCTGCTCCGGCAACATCGGTCAGACTGTCCTGCCCTCCTTGGCCGGTGACGACTGATACACCAAATGAGGCGGAAGTCCGCAAGGAACTCCAACTCTTGGAACGTTACAAATCACCAGGCCCAGACGACTTACCCCCGGCTCTTTTTAAAGATGGTGGTGACTTTCTGACTAAAGGACTGACGACGTTGTTTACAAAGATCTGGGAACTAGAGAGTGTACCAACGTCATGGAATGAGTCGATAGTTGTCCCTATCTTTAAAAAGGGTTCACGTTGTTCCTGTAACAACTATCGGGGGATAAGTCTACTTCCGATTGCGTCCAAGCTATTGGCTTCCGTCATACTTCGTAGGTTGTTCAGAACCCGAGAAGGATTGACTCGCGAGGAGCAGGCTGGGTTTCGTTCTGGTCGAGGATGTATTGATCATATCTTCACCCTCCGCCAAGTGTTAGAACATCGCCATACTTATCAAAGACCAACAATCGTAGTGTTTCTTGATATCAAGGCTGCTTTCGATTCGTTGGACAGAACTGTTCTCTGGGATTGTCTATTGAAGAGGGGTGTGCCTGAGAAGTTTATTAACATCCTAAAAGCCTTATATACAAACACCTCAGGTAGAGTGAGGGCATACAACCACCTTTCTCCACTATTCCATTCAAGCAGTGCAGTTAGGCAGGGTTGCCCAATCTCACCATTCCTCTTCAACTTTGCCATCGATGACATTCTGGAAACAGCTCTGACGGATGTAAGTAATGGTGGTGTGGATCTGTTGCCTGGAGAAAGACTTCTCGACCTTGAGTATGCGGATGATATTGTCTTACTGTGCGAGAATGCCCAAGCTATGCAATCCGCACTTAATCAGTTGGCAATCAGTGTCCGTAGGTATGGTATGTGCTTTGCACCTTCGAAGTGCAAAGTACTTCTACAAGACTGGCAGGATTCTAATCCTGTACTCACTCTGGATGGTGAGCAGATAGAAGTAGTCGAGAAGTTCGTGTATCTAGGTAGCTGCATAAGTGCTGGTGGTGGCGTGAGTGATGAGATCAATGCACGTATAGTGAAAGCCAGAGCGGCTTATGCCAATCTGGGCCATCTTTGGCGCCTTCGTGATGTTAGTCTGGCTGTAAAAGGTCGGATCTACAACGCGACGGTGAGAGCAGTTTTGCTCTATGCTTGTGAAACCTGGCCTCTCCGAGTTGAGGATGTTAGACGACTCTCTGTGTTCGATCATCGTTGCCTCCGAAGGATTGCTGGCATCCAGTGGCAACACCATGTCAGTAATGCAGAGGTTCGGCATCGAGTGTTCGGTCACAGAGACGATAATGAAATTGGTGTCACCATCTTGAAACACCGACTTCGGTGGCCTGGACATGTTCTACGAATGTCGTCCCAGAGAATTCCACGTCGTGCATTATTTGCCGACTCTGGGACTGGTTGGAAAAAGCGGAGAGGTGGTCAGTATATGACATGGTGTCGTGGTATGAAAGAAAGCTGCAAAGGGCTAGCTTATGTTGGTCCTTCAAGACTCCCTGGTTGGGGTCCGAGAGATGGTGTAACGCAGTGGCTAGAGACGTTATCAGATATGGCTCAGAATAGAAGCCAGTGGCGATCCTGCTGTAACCTTCTTTTACTTTCTTCATAAAAAGGTGGTCGTATTCTTCCTTAACTGAAAGATCTGTTCTGATTGTACCTTTCCGTTTCCCCCACCATTGTTCTCTCTCTCTCTCTCTTCTTTTTTTTATAATTCCCCACGTTCATTACTTTTTTTTTCTTCTCTTTTCTCCTTCTCTTCTAATTATCACTGTTTTGTGTGGCGCATATATATTTGGTGCCCCCCTGTACCAATATTTATGTGTTCAAATAAATAAATAAATAAATAATGATGATGATCTCTAGAAAGACGCAACGAATAAAACCATCGTTTGTTTCGGATTGGTTGAGGATAAGAAAAAAGGAAGACTTGTTATGGTGGGATCGTTAAGTTATCGCTGTATTACACCTTCATCGACCTCAGAGTATGTAACATTTCCAAACTAATTACTTCACGTAACATAACACAAAGAAATCAAATAGACCACAGTGAGTGGCAAGGAGAACAATATACATATAAACATTCATAGATGTTACTGTGAGTTACGTGTATTATCTTGACTAGTCAACAAATACTATATATAGGTAATGGTAACCAATGATTTTATTACCCTGTTAAAAACAGCACGGATACTTGGCGTACACTTTAAGCTATACTGAATTTTTCTTTTAGGTGGCTAGAATTACTGGTTTGTAACGGTTACACAACATTTCCTTAATCACCTTACGCCTGAATTAATAGATTTTATGGAAAAACACTGTAATACATTTTCAGTGTTTAAAGAAGTTTTATTATTAATCATTAACCTATAGGAAAATATTACAAAATTGATTTTGCAAAGCAGAGGGATTCAACTATATTTATATACATAAGAAAGGGAAATGAAGTTGGAAATGTATTCATTTTATACGAACATCCTTGAAACAAAAAGAACTACATCCAATTTGGACTAAATAAAATTTTAGAAGATCAAAACATTATTACGGAACTGAGAGAATGTGAGAGGAAAAAAGAGATGAAAATTTCTAGTGAAAACAACTATTCGACAGTTTTTTCGCATAAAAAATAATTAATACAAACTAGGCTGTTCATTTCGTAGTTCGTTCTTATTGTTTTGACAATGTTCTTGAAGAAGTTGTAATACATCTGTTTGAAAATATTTCGGGGCTTCTTTTGCCTCTTTTAAATGATACATGTAGAGAAAATAGAGCAGGTGATAATTTAGAAAAGAAATGTAACAGTTTTGAAATATTATGTAACTTGAATCCAATTACTAATATACATTACAGATAAATTAAAAACAGTATCACAGCCCTCACACAAATCAAATGAGATCTGTATGGCGCATATATATTTAGTGCCTCCTTGTACCAATATGTATGTGTTAAAATAAATAAACTTTCAACGACGATATAACCACCGCTTAGAAATAAAGTTAAGAGTATTTAACAATAATGCCTGAGTCTGACAAAGTATGAATAAGTGCTTGTGATTCTAAATATTTACTAGTAGAAAATATTTCTGAAAATTGTTCCTTACACGAGGTGTTAATCAACATGCGTCAATATCACTGATATGGTGAGTGAGAATTAAGGATGAAAGTCTGTTGTTCTCGTCAGTGACTCAAAAAACTTATAAACAATGTGCACAATCGACAATATACCGATAAAGTATTTTTCAATGAAAATAAAGTAGCGCAAAATCGTAACTTTTATTCTCAACTAACACTTTTCTGATTACTTCCAAGCACCATTGAAGTTATGGTTGATATCTAACAGATTATTTCTAATACAACTGAATTGACCATTAAATATAATGACCAATGAAATAAACAAACACTATCAGTGTCTGCTCGAATTCACTAATCAGGTAATAAACGCTACAGCTCACCCTGTCAGTCACATTCCTGACTTACCTTCTAAAAGAAGTAGATTAGAGTTTAAGAAGAGAGAGCATAAGTCTCATTAACGCTTTGAATATATTTTGTTGCTTAAATGCTATGAAAAATGCTAATAACTAGATCAAGTAAAATTAAGACTATTTTTGGTCTCATTTTACATAAAATTCTGCTTGTAGCCCTTCTAGTGTTATTTCCAATCTTGAGTTCGAGTAAAGGTAGAAGGCTGGGCATGAGGTTAGGAATATCACCAAGTGTAAAAGAAACCTTGATTACGAGAAAAATGCTAACCACAAAAATCTGTTTACATAAGAAACTAAATGTATGACAAAAAAAAAGAATTACAAGAAAAACACAACATACTTGTAATCCAATAGTAAATATCCCATTCATTGTCTGGTAGATTGATCAAACTATCATACGCAATCAGTTGTTCATGAGTCATTGAATTCAGGTATTTAGCAGCAAATGTACTATATGAGAATTACCAAAAAATATTTATATCAAAAATTATGAAAAAGCCAAACCAGATTAAATACAATTTATTAGAAATTAATAATTAATACATATATCTAATGATAACATATTGGTTGTCTCCCTATATAATATTTGTGATTTATTTTAGCTTATGATAATCTAGTGTGATCGATTCGAGTGTTGAACTGATTGATTATTACACTTAATCATTCATAATTACTTTTTGTTGTCTTTTGTAAAAGCAGGAAAGTTCAAACTGTGGAAATATAAGTATCAATGGTATTAAAAGGGATCAAACACTGGTTAAACTGAAGTATAAAGATTGAGCTTTAAACTCGGAGCCTATTAGATGAAAGCAGCTGCTTAACTATTAAGTCATTGTTCAAAAATTAAGAGAATAACGAGGTGAAGTAAACATATTAAATATGCAGCTTTTAAGAAATCCAGAATACAACAATAGCATGATATACCTTTCTGTCACCATCTAGAGATCTCAGAACGTATAAGTTACGAGAACAACATTCGAGAATCTTGTGAAATAGGCAACTTACTCATACATGAAATAAAATTTGCTATCGATGGAAGTATGTGTGAACTAATCACACTGTACACTGTCTTGATTAAATTACGAGAATAGAATTCATTCAAACCTAAAAAACGCAATATACTTATGACTTAAAATATTTTTTTAAACTTTACTTGCCATGAACAGGTTTATATGGTCAGATTGAGTCACATTTTTTTTAATGAGTAGTGATACTGTCTGGTTTTCTAAATAACCAAGTTCGTGGAACAGGTGGAATTTACAATTTGCTTGTTGAAATTTGAGTGTTTTCAGTTTTAAATCACCACCTTACGTTACTACAGTTAAGACTTAAATAAATGTCATTTAGTGAAACAATAGTCTGTGTCGAACCATGTTTAGCTGCATATAAAGTAGGACTCTTTTGGGATTTTGTGAAAATTGAACTGTAAAGATCGAGATAATCAATGTATTTTGATATTAAAATATTAGGATTCGATCGCATTTCTATCAATCATCTATGTCTACCACTAAACATTTAAAATTTTCAAGATCAATGAAAAAAAATCTGTTTTGTTTTAGCCAAATGTTTAACTGTAATTACCACCTACCACATTCGAAACAACTAAGATTGTGTTGTGAATGGAACAGTTATAAACAGTTGGGAGACTCTTCTAATACGTAATGAGCAAACTGAATGACTGACGCACAGCACTTAAACGACAATACGCCGAGCAGTGGAACATAAAAGCATTGTAAGGAAGATGTATTGGTCAAGACCATAGAAGAATTAGTTTACATTCAAGTTAATCTCATTATATATCGATTAAACTAAATGATTATTAATTGCAAAATTTATAAACTAAACATTAATTGTTTAGCACAAAAATATGGTGAATTTATAAGCAATATCAAAATAGCTCATTTCATATTGACTAAATAAATACAAACGAAAATTTACTACAAGTGAATAAACAGAATTTACAAAAAAAGTAATGCAACGAAATTGTATTTCAAGTTAACTGTAGCCAACTTGCCAAGTTGAAGATTAACTTCCTTATTTATACGCTTAATTAAGGAATTTCACATGCCTGACAGTTTTTCTCGATGTAAATTTGACTGAGTATGATATATTGAATAAAGTTGTTCTAACATGGTGAATATCGATAAAGCTGTAACTTGTAGAACTATCTCATGAAGAATTATTGTCGATATTTTTACTTTAAAATTAATATATATTTGGATTATTGTATCTTAATATTTTCTTGATTATAACCCTTTGTTTGGCGCATAAATTATTGACATATAATTCCAATCTAAACATTAAAAGCACGAAGTTCAGAGAGGGGATCTCTTTTCAACGAATTTATTATCAAGCTGTACAATCATATATATAATATTAAAGTATCAGTTTCATGAGGACATATGAACAAGGAATAAATACGATATGATAGAAAGATTATAATGCTAGATTACGTAATGTGAATGATAATAATAAGATTGTGTGTGCGCAAACAGAAAGCCTTGCATAAATTATCGTTCTATTTTTTAAATCTTCCTCAAATTTCTGTTGACTAATTGCAGACAAATCACTTAATTTCTCTATGGCCTATGGCGTAATTATGGGCAGATTGTAATTACCTATTTATGTTAATGTAGTCCGGAATTTACTCTACATCACTGAATGAGTTGTGTCATATAATTGGACGGCTACACAACAGGGATTTTATCTGCTTCTCATTTTAGTCTTCTAATTAGACACTATGTTGAGAATATCTCGACAACCAATAAGTATTAAGGCCTCAGTTGCTGTTCAGTGGTCACTCGTAAAATAGGTCATCAGTCCTACAGACACTGAGAGAACTAGTTAGCAGTCGAACTAGACAATACTACTACTTCCATAATAACCATTTGATTACAGAGGTCTCAGAACAATGCAAGAACCCGTCGGTTTTATAACTATAACAAAACTAAGAACACAGAGACTTGCAGGCCGAATCATAAAAGTGTAAAGGCCAAGTACTGGTTAGTATTTTAATTCCATGTAATAATTATACATATGCTGACAGATATAAGTAGTATGTAGTAACCATTGGAAGTGAAATGCCTGGCAGCAGAAGATTGAAATGAAAAGAAAGGAAGTCGGGGAGCGATCGAAATAACAACAGAATTGGAGGAATAATGGAGTATGTAAACGGCATCGTAAAGAAGATATGCAAATGCTTTCTTTAATGTATGATTTTCAGATCTTACTAAGCCACTGTGATTCTGCATTAAGTAATAAATTGGTTTTCCTTCGCATTCACTACTGCTCAATTCACTAATATGATTGGCTAGTCCGCTAAAAAAATACAGTGACATTGGCTGATTATTTATGTCCACTTATTTGCCTTCATTGTATAGTCAGACTACACACCAAAAGATCTTGATGTATTTATTTTTTTACTTAAAACACATTTGATACTACATGACTGCGATAAAATGAATACGCATACATAAATTTATTGGTCCAATCAAGACGCTATAGGCAAGAATAGTGTGCAGACATAATAAAGTACATGTTTACGTGAACCACGATGATTGAATCGGGTTCAAAATTAACAACTCAGTCTTTAAAAATTGAGTTAAGACAAGAAACCACAGCTTTATGAAACGACGGTGTTCAACAGATTCACGGCAAGAGCAGGAGTAATATTAGTACTGCATACTTTTCTGTAAAATGTTTTCATTTAACAGAAATATAATACAAGCACTGAACTAATCATAAACACTGTTCATTTGTATGTTCCTTAAACCTATAGATCTATCATATAGGAACGAGATCAATGTTAACCCCCACAAACACCATTATTGCAACCAGGCTTTTTTCAAACTAACTTATTAACGATGAATTTTCCCCGGCTCAGTAAATTTAGCATGACAGAGTGGGCATAGATTTGATTGGATGACTGAATACTTTGATTCAACTATTTGCTTCGGTTTGGGCACCCGAGCAGTATCACAGCCCTCACACAAATCAATTGAGATTTGTGTGGCGCATATGTATTTGTTGCCTCCTTGTACAAATGCTTATGTGTTAAAAATAAAATAAAATAAAAGATTTGATAGTAACAACTGATTTACAACGTGGCGTTTGATTATTGAAGTTATGCTTTCAACAGTATACTACAAGTAAATGCTTTTGAGACTCTGGGCAATGGTCCCTAATTGTTTGTGGATTGACTGAATATCTTTCTTTAATAGACATTTTATATGATCCTGTAGGTAAAACAAGACAACTGACTTAAGTGAACAGTTTTATCGCTCGGAAGATATCATATTGTTGTCCAATACTTGTTGACGAACAACTGATGGCTTTGTTTAACAAAAAGAATCTTCAATCATGAACATATTAAAAAATATAGGTCTGGAAAAGTAAGAAACAACATTGGTAGAGTAATATGTTGGCATCTAACTTTCAATGGCCAAATTCCCTATATAATAATAACAAAAGACTATGAGTAAAGTGAAAACTTATAGAAATATATATATGAATAGAATCAGAATACCTTAACAGAATTCCATTTTCCAAATTCCCACGCTTTCTACTTTGATATAATAAACGAGCTCTGCGAACATCATCTGTTTCTGTGGTAGATACTTGATTTGTAGATCGAAGTTGTACATCGTCTATGACATTATTTTGACCAAACGATGATTGAGCAGAAAAGAATGAATATCCAGAACACATTTTTATTTTATATTTAGGTAGAGTGATTAATCGACTACTTAACATAATAGGCAATCTTGTAATAATGTGCCACTTAAAATTCATTTTATTTATGCTAATTAACTCACACTCAAAACCTGTTTAGCACTAGTTATCTACAAAGAAGTACACAAAACGTCGTTATTATGTACATATATGTAATAGAAAATCAGGGCTTACTGAATTTTGAACTAAAGAACTGATATTTTACTAGTACTGATCACATCATGTTATTTTTTCTTCACAATACCAAAATGTTCACTGAGAAATGAGCAAATACGAAGTGGACTAAATATCATTTCTAAGGGATGTAGGCAGTGAGACGGTAAACAGACGTCGACTTCATCTTGACATCAAGAAAGGAGTGAGTGATATAGTGATAGATTACGAACCACCAATACTATCACACACGGTGACTATCATACAGAAGATGAGCCGGGTTATCGGTACTTCAAGTTATGTACAATCAGCAGGCATGAAAAATCTGGATAACTTGAAAGTGTACTCAGCAAAACAACTTGCCTCACGACAGCCGTCAGAATCTGTGCAGTACTTTTGAAATTCTCCTATTTCAATTTTAAGCTTTAATTGATACATGCTTAGTTTTTATTTTCCAGTTGGTAACTGTCGTAAAAACTTCATTATTCATAGTAATAATTCTGTGTTTTCTAAGTCAAGGATTTACATCCCTTTCTGTGATGGTTTGTCTTGAAATTCTGTACTAAATGACACCCTCCGAACTCTATAAAAAATAAAATATCTTGAGGCTAAATGCAAAATTACCAGGGACCGAGTGTTGCCATTCAGGTCCTTTAAAGGTGAGTGGTATTCTACTTTCATTAAAACCAGTAAAAGTCCGAATACTTTGATGGATAAACCTAGGCACTTTATTTTTATCCCACATGAGTGATCTCTGAATGCCGGGGAGTCAAACATTCTTATGCATATGAATAACTTATAGGACAGTATTCTACATTGACCACAGGAATTACATGCAAACTTTAGAGAATAAATGATGACCAGGAAAGAATAGCAGCAAGCGTTTTCTAGTGCGAATAGACGTCAAAAATGATCAGTACGATCATAAATGAAATAGCTATAGTTCAAGTAAGTGATCTTTGCAAGTCATGAATTTAATACCTTACAGGAGATTCACTTCTTGACTTGGAATATGCCGATGACATAGTTCTATTTAATGAAGACGCTGACGAAATGCAGAGTCTGCTGACCACTCTAAGCAACAATGCAAGCATGTTCGGCATGCGATTCTCTCCCTCGAAATGCAAAACGTTACTTTAGGATTGGGTTGCATCGACATCCGAACTAGTGATAGGGTATGAAGTAGTTGAGCGTGTCCATTGCTTCACTTATCTTGGGAATCTCATCAGCCCTTGTGGTCTGGTGTGTGACGAAATCTCAGCACAGATACAAAAGGCTCGACTAGCTTTTGCCAACTTGCGTCATTTATAGAGTAGGCGAAATATCCGTCTACCAATTAAAGGACGAGTTTACTGCGCAGCAGTTCGTTCCGTCCTACTTTATGGCAGTGAGACATGGCCGATAAGAGAGAGGATATTCGTAGGTTACTAGTATTCGATCATAGGTATCTTCGAAGCATTGCTCGTATATACTGGGACCAATGAGTAAGTAATGCAGTTGTTAGGAAACGGGTACTAGTTAAGGACGGAAAATCAATCGAGGAAGTAGTGAAACGTCATCAGTTGAGATGGCTGGGGCATGCGTTACGTATGCCCAACCACCGACTGCCTTGACGTGTGATGTTTTATGGTGTAGGAGTAGGTTGGAAGAAAGCTAGTGGTGGCCAAACCAAAACATGACACAAATCCATGAAGTCTCTGATAAGTGAACCGAAACATGTTGGTAGGTGTAGACTACCAGGTTGGGATCCGCGAGATGATAGCAACCGATGGTTAGAGACCTTGAGTGACATGGCTCAAAATCGTTTGCAATGGTGAATGTGCATCCACTCTTTGTGTCCTCCCAAATTCTAGTCTTCTGAATTCTTCATCTCTCTTTTTCTCTCCAAATTTATTTTAATGGATTATACTCCTTGAATAACATCTTCAAACTCTTATCGTTCCGATTACTGCTTATACTTTAACTCTTAATTGAGAATTGTGTCTGTGTGCTAACGTGGTATGGCAGCTCGAACTGATGTACGTACGTACGAAGTTCAAAGTTGTTACTGACTGACCTTATAAGCTACTATTGCAAAAAACTTCACATGTATCTTCGTGTTTTATTTTATCTCCAATCGTAAAGTAGCACTTTTCGAGTAATCAAAGCTAAAGCGTAAAAATGGCTTACCGAGGAGTAAAAATTGATATCAATCTATAACATCTTAATCCGATTCACTCTAATTTCAAATGAACACAGAATTTTAAAAACTTCCAGTGTGGTTAAAATTTATTCCTACGCTGCTGAAAAACTTAGATTGCCCTGATCATCGAACTACCTAAGCTTTTATATGATAATAACGTAACAAAATTATTATGTTTCTCCGAAAATAGTAATGGATTGAATGTGAATTGTTGAATAACGCATCAATGGTGTGTCATTAATGATTGATACTTCAGAAAAATACGCGAACAACACTTTAAAACAACAATAGTTCTAGATCGCGTACATTGTCAGAGTTGTCGAATGCTGTCTATGGAAAGAATCACAACAGAATGATATCTTACGCACTGATTTGAAAGTGTCAAACATATAACATGGAAATTTGAGGCCACTTTACATAGATCAGTAATAAAGCTACTATTCGTTTCCTAATCCTTCTTAGCATAAAACACAAGGTTTCCAAAGTCCTGTAGATTACCTAAATCTTCCGACCTTTAAAAAAAATTAGCGCCAATCTGATTGAATAGTTCAACCGATTAGTCTACCAGAATAATGACAAATGTGCCTGTTTCTATGATCCTTTGCATTTACTTAAAGTAAGGGATATTTTACTTCAAGACGCTTTATCTACCTATTTACTCCAATATATTTTCGGAGATTTCTTTGCCTCACCGACCAACATAGTATGACAAAAAAATCTTAATAAAGTAAAAATAAGAAAACCCATATATCAATATCTGAAAACAATAAGAATCCAGCGAAGGAAATTTTTATCTTGAACTGAATCATTTACCTAACCTGTCTATTAGTGTATATAACTCTGCGGTTAATTTATTGCGATTGCAGCATAAAAGTGAAAACATAATCAACGATACGAACCTTACTTCTGTGCAAAAGAAAATTATTCCTATGAATCTGTTGATGTTTACTTAACTGCTTATTTACGAGTCACTCCGCAAAGAGGAGCATATGACGCTCATCTACATTCTACATACAATTCCATCGTGGGCAATCCCTTCCAGTTCTTTACAGTTGCTATTAATCCTCCTGATGCATCTTTTCTGTTCTTGGCGCAACTTGTTTTTTGTCTTTCCAGTTTTCCGTCTCCTGACTCCGTTCCTTACTTGGAATGCGTCTCTCTGCTGTCCGCCATGCTTTTCAGTCCACCTTATTTCCGACGGTACTCAATTATTTCGAGAAGCGCTGGGTTCTATCTCTTCGATTTTGTTGATCGTCATCTGATATTCCCGGTTTTCTACATTGTCTGGACGTTCCAAATATCTACAAAAATTGTTGCCATGGTCATTGTAAGAGACATCGAACTCGTGACTTCAGGAGAATTTTAGCTCTCATCACGAGGCGTCATAATTCAACTCACAGGATAGTGTTTAAATTGCTTATTTTTCGTTAGCGTTCGTTTTAGCAAGGTTATTTTCTACGAAATGGGGTAACCGAGAGCATGCTCGATATCTTTTTTTCCGTAGAGATTTTTAAAGGAGAGTGCAAAACAACTACCAGTTCAGTATGGGAGCATCTATTCAACTGTGATCACGTCGCTTAGGAAGAGTCTACTTTAAAATAATCTACACAATCAAAGGAAATGAATCGGAGTATGTACAAATCCACAATTTCAAGCGATGCGTTAAACTTCTCATCCTTCCTTGGCACTTAGTCCCTTAGGTAGTATGTTTTTTTATATATATATTTTTTAAATTAATTACTTGTAAATTTTAATTCGTAATCATTTTTATCATCCTTCAAGTTTTCCATGAATATTGTTGTGATCGTTTTGATGTTCGTTTCCCTTCGTATCTGTTAAGTGGACAATTATCTATAATAATTGTGACCCACAAATTAACTTCATCCACAAATCCTTTTTAAATCTCCTGATTATTACATAACCTCATTTTTGTCTCGAATCATTTCATGAAGAAACTATAAACGACACTACTATCAATACGAATATGCCGCTCAAATAAATGATTGGGCTGAAAAGAAATTTTTCGTTGACTTTTCTTAATTTGATTTCGATATCTTATTTCTTGTACACTGACGGTTTCGTTTTTGGCCGAAGAGCGTTTTAGAATTTGAGACTCAACATTTCAAGGTGATCCACTTGCAGATGCTTTCGTTCGGCTGAACGCGCCGAAGAACGACAAGGTGTGTAGTGTTATTTATAAGTCTCAAACTAGTGGAATATAATGCTTTTTGTGAAACCGTTTGTTGTTCCTGGTTTTACTGCTATACGATATATGATATGTAACTGAATTTTTACAGAAGGTTAAAAATATCTGAGTGGAAAAAATAAATTGGAATACATATTACTTATATTTAGATATACACGGTAATCGCCTGTTTGTTATAAAATCCCTAAAGCTATGCGTTGATGTAAGTACTGTTGGGTTTAACTTTAGTGTAAATTATATGGCTCCATTTGTTCCAAAGCTATAACGTTCTACCTACATATTACTGGCATGTTGGGTTTTTAGTATATCCGGAATTCGGTTTGCAAACTCAGTATTTGAGTTCTTAATACACATTCAATCAATTTTTTGGTAAGGAATTTTGTATAACCACAGACATTTGAGTCATAGCTCATAGAATAACTAAAAGTAAATATAAGTCTGTTCTTCTTGGTTTTGGCAACGTTTCTCCCCCACCTACTGAACCCTTCCCTCATTCTTTGTATGTTTGACTCCATAAAATTGTTGACTGGCTTTCCCATATGTTGATGTTATAGGCCTCGTAGCGTAATGTAGAAATTGAGATAGTGAGACATAATGTGTGGACAACCTGTAAGTGACGCTGAAGTGACCTTTAGAATGTCCACTCAATAAATAGGACTAAATGATGGTTATAAATCAGTATGAGCAATTAGAATTCTGATTTTTGAAGTTGATGGTTAGAGTTAGGAATCGGATTTAGGGTTTTCATCAATGATGGCATCAGTTAAAATGCAAAAATGCTTTTTAGCTGAATAGATGAATGAAAGATGTGTTACTCTTAATCTTATTGGTTCGTCCGTGAATTATAGTCGCGTCTATAGTTTTTTTTTTGTAAGAATGTTTCACTCGTACGTTGTAATAAAATTGTTTAACAACGATGTATTTGTGATCCTCATATGCTCTACGTTAGTGTCTGGTAACATCGAGGCAGAGTTATAGGTTATTCGTTTAGATTTTGTTAACTTGCAAAATATTTTGTGTGGGTTAGCATCTTATCGCTCATTATAAATCCGAAAGATTACTCAAAATTTCATATTTTACCACTTAACTGCTTTCATATTGCCTTATACTATAAGCTTCACGTGTAAAGTACAAATATTCTACCACAGTTGTATTGTAAAGTCAGTCAAGTTAAAGTAATGTACACTGGCAAAAATAAGTTTCCGAAAACGATACTTAGTTCATACTACAGCTTTTAAATTTTAAACAAGCCTACCTTTTTTTGACTTGTTCTTTAAGTAATTCAAGTTTACTAATTTTTTCTAACTTTCCTGTAACACGACAGTCGGTAAATTTATAGTTTAGCATTGACTGATCCTCATTTAATTATGTTGATTTTCACTTTTAGGTAATCATATTGTTCACCTTTACCTTTCATGATATTAAATGAATAAAACTCGAGAAAGGTATCAATTATAGTTGAAAATAATTATCCTTTGGATTTTGTGTTCTTATAGTGTCATCTTTGGAATTCGCTTTTTTATCCAGTTTGTCAAATATCTTGGTAGACAATTAAAAAGAGAATTTCTTACCCCACTAATTTTTTTGCTCCTACTAATAATTGTTACTGGTTTTTGTAAGTGTAGAAAGAAAAACAAAAATAACAATAATCAACTTGTTTTCGACAGATGAATATTCCGCTTATCAAATAGGATTGATATCCTCCAACTTTTTTGGTGCTTTGACTACCAAAAATTATGATAGATTTATATGGACTTTAAAATTATCAATAATGTATATATTTTGTGGCTCTTTGGTAAGTTATATTTAGCGCTGTCTTACTTATTATTATGATTTTGTTTTACATGGCATTTACTATAGTAAGTGAAACTTCATGGAATAAATCAACATAGTATTTGATGTAATAGTGCTTCAAGTTTGCTTGGTATGACGTACAATATGGTGGTTTGAGAAATGGTCTGATGGGTAAAAATGACATGAAAAGTGACATACGTAACTTAGTAATACTGCTTTTTGCAATAGGGCTGGACAAAATCGATTTGTAAATTTTGATGACAAATTTGCTATTGATTATGAAAAGGCATTTGACAGTGTAGATAGGAGAACGTTATGGAAACTTCTTCGACACTACGGAGTTCCTGAGAAGATTGTCAACATTATCCGGAACTCATACGACGGATTACAGTGCAAAGTAGTGAATGGAGGACAGCTGACAGATGCATTCCAAGTAAGGACCGGAGTCAGACAAGACTGTCTACTCTCTCCCTTCCTCTCTCTTTTGGTGGTCGACTGGATGTTGAAGACCTCGAAATCTGAGGGAAAACACGGCATACGATGGACAGTTCAGAACCGATTATACGATTTTGACTTCGCAGATGACCCTGCCCTCCTATCGCATACACACGAACAAATGCAGATAAAAACAGTCAGTGTAGCAGCAGTCTCTGCATCAGTTGGCCTCAACATACACAAAGGGGAAACCAAGGTCCTCAAATACAACACGGAGAACAGCAATCCAATCACTCTTGATGGCGAAACTCTAGAAGATGTGGAATCCTTCACATACCCAGGAAGCATCGTCGATAAACAAGGAGGTTCGGATGCAGACGTGAAGGCGAGGATTGGTAAATCAAGAGCCGCATTCCTACAGTTGAAGAACATATCGAATTCAAAACAACTTTCAACCAATATCAAAGTCAGAATCTTCAATACGAACGTCAAGGCAGTTCTAATGTACGGAGCTGAAACGTGGAGAACTACAATAACCACCATCAAGAAGGTACAAGTATTTATAAATAGTTGTCTATGCAAGATACTCAACATCCATTGGCCGGATACCATCAGCAATAGCCTTTTTGGGAGGAACAAACCAGGTTCCAGCTGAAGAGGAAATTAGGAAAAGATGATGGAAATGGATAGGACATACATTGAGGAAGTCATCAAACTGCATTACGAGACAATTGCTAACTTGGAATCCTGAAGGGAATCGGAAAAGAGTAAGGCCGAAGAACACATTACGTCGGGAAATAGAAGCGGATATGAATGGGATGAATAAGAACTGGAAAGAGCCGAAAAGGATTGCCCAGGACAAGGTTGGATGGAGAATGCTGGTGAGTTGTCTATGCTCCTTCACGAGGAGTAACAGGTGTAAGTAAGTAAGTAACAAATGTCCACAACGACCATTTTTATTGATCGACACTTCAAATCGAAATAGAATACCACTCTAAATGTATAGGCTAGTACTTAGTAGATTGGAGATTATCAGGATTTAGAAAATAACTGATGAGTATTGTTGTGTGACGGGTCAATTTTTAACCATTTTGCTTCTAAATATCGAGTTAGCGAATGCATGATTTTCCACAGGGCTCGAATTGTTACTATGAATAACATTGTCTTGTTACTTTAAAGCCTTATCTACGTTAGCTCTTCCGTCAAAGCATGGTTAACAATGTGCAGTATGATAAACGTATTGACCTATTCTTAATTTGGAAATTATTTCGTGCTAAATTGAAGTGTTGAAATTGTTATTTATCGAATACTCACAGGTTTCTTACTTTTGCCTCCACATTTTATATTGTCCTAAAAACCTGGACATAGTTTGCTTGACATAAGATATTATGAAAACAGATGCCTGTTGTTTCTCAGTCTGATAATATAATTACTGAGTAAGTCAACCTTTCTACTTTTCATGATGATCATTGCTGACATTGAGTAAAAAAATTTGCGTTTTTGTTTTCCATTTAGGCTCTAGGTGTACAAAACATGGTTGTGGGACAATTATCACTAATATTACGGGAAGTATTAACTAAGAATTTACAAAGCCTATATTTTAAGCGGAAAAATTACTATGTTGTAAATAATCTTATTGATTTAGACAACCCGTAAGTTTGTGTTTTGCCCTCTCGTTGTTTTTAACTTAGTTGATCATGAAAATATTTTCTTGTAGTGATCAACGTCTTACTCAAGATATCAATTTAGCTTGTGACCTGCTGACCAATATAATTGTTTCAATAACTGTGAATCCAATATTAGTCGTATTCTATACATATCTTTGTGTACAAAAGTAATGTATTTTGATTTCCCAGTTAATATGCTTTATTCCAGAGCTGGTTGGTTAGGTCCAATCTCTGCTTATATCCTATTCATTATATTTGCAATAATTTTGCGATTCCTTGCCTCTTGGAGTTCGCGTGCTTCATTTGAACTTCAGAAACAAGAAGGCAATTTTAGGTAATTGTTAATTTTAAGAATCCTTTCATTTTTTGTATTTAGTATTTAGAAGTTGTTTACAAAGTTTATCTGAAGTTTCCATTATAACTTGGCGGGAACAACAATGGCTATATAACCTTCTTAGTCAGTAAATGTTATATTGACTAGATATGCATAACAATTAACTTTCAATTTTTTAGGAGAGTAATTTATTCCGAATGCGTTTCAGCCGCTGTAAATGCAAATTTTTGCTTCACTAATGGCCTGCGTCAACACCTGAACTAGCGAGTGAAGTAATCAAACGCGTCGACGATTTCACTTAGAAGTCTCGTCAGCCCTAACCGGTTGTTGTGTGACAAAATCTCTGCACGGATTCAGAAAGCTCATTTGGCTTTTGTTAACTTACGTAACCTATGGCGAAGGCGAGATATCCGTCTATCTTTTAATGGATGAGTGTACTGCGCGACAGTTCATTCTGTTCTACTGTACGTCTGCGAAACGTGGACATTAAGACTAGAAGATACGCACAAGCTACTAGTATTTGATCACAGATGCCTTAGAAATATTGCTCGCAAGTAATAGTAAGGTTAGACACAGGGTATTAAGGAATGATGGTAAATCAGTTGATGAGGTTGTAAGTCTTCATCGACTGAGATGGTTGGGTCACGTGTTGCATATGCCTGAACACCGATTACCACAAAGCGCAATGCTAACCGGTGTTGGAGATGGTTGGAAGAAAGTTATGTGTGGCCAAACCAAAACGTGGCATCAGTCCATAAAGTCACTAACCTCTGGTCTGAGCCATATTTTTAGATGCAGACTACTTGGTTGTGTTCCGCATGACTGTCGTAACCAATGATTGGCGACCCTTGGTGACATGGCTCAGAATCGATCACAATGGTGTAGGTGTATACACTCTATGATTTCCCTTACATTGTGAGATAACAATTATTTCATGTCTTTCCTTCTACAAATTAGTTCTTCCTCTCTGTATTATATCCATATATGCCCTCTATTTTTTTCACATATTACTACCATTGAAGTAACCACCTCTATGAATTCAGACTTCATCTTGTTGTGCTAATGATGTGTGGCAACTTGGACCAATGCATATATGTACCTGGTTCTGCGGTGTAGCTGACTGACTGAATTTGTTCACTTAATTTTGTCGGGAATTTCCTGCTTTATTACATCAGTGTGGAGCGCAGATGCATTTCCTTTTTTGTTTTTCATCAAGTCTTGACTATTCATTTGTTTTCTAATTTTTGTCAATGTCATTCAAGTTCCTTTCAATATCTTAAGTTTTTCAGTTACATATTATTATTTTTGCTTCATTATTCAAACTAAAATCAAGATAATATGGCACTAGGTTATAGATTTATGTAGTAAGTGAATGCTTATTGTAATCAATGCATCTCATAAGACCTCACTTTTTTTCAAGTATGCATAGGAATAGTATGAAATGAAATAATAATAATAATAACGATAATCTACCAAGTTGTATAGAACATTTCAACATTATTTCTCACTCACTTGTAATGTACATAGTAGAGTTACACATTATCGTAAATTCATAACTTATTGCACTGCTTGACGGGCCTAAATATAGACTTAGTGTAATACTTTATCAAACTTCTTATTACTAATAACTAAAGGGAAATCAGAAGTCATTACTCAATTGAGTAAAACTCGTAAAAAGTCACATATTTACCAGTCAGAAGTAATTAATTATTTGACGACGGGACTTTAACACGTATCTATAAAACTACAGATGAGCTAAGGACATTGAATATAAGTGTGCAAATTTTTACAGTATAATCATAAATTACATTGGAACTTCCTTGAACATGAAATTGATAAAGTGTTTTTCCCTAAACTAGAAGCAATAGCTAGTGATCTAGGTATTTATTATTCTTGATGTTGGGTTTAAAAATAAGTAGGATATACAAGACTCAGGAACTCTGCAAGAATGTCTTAAATCTAAAGTTCGATTTCAGTAGCCATATTTTTCTCTGAATTTCTATGCAAAAGCTAATTCAGTCAATCATTTTTTCTACTCATTGGGATATAACAAAAAATATATTTATTATCCGTCGAATAAGTTTTTGAAAAAGTCAATAACTGGAGTGGATGAACTATATGATGTACACGTCAGGCTTTTACATCGACGAACTATTCTGGATTACACCGAATTGTTTTAAAAATAAACTAACAGTGACCATACCAGAACGTGATTCATGAAACTATTGAATTGTGCACGAAGGTATACATGCAAATAATTATCAGTGTTACAAAAAGCGATTAACTTCAGAACCTGGATGATGTGTTTAAAAATCATTCAGATTGGTGTGAATTAAACCACTTTCTGTCTAGTGAACTTGAAGTTTTTTGTTATGTATCATTTATTATCCTCTTTCATTCTCTCTCTACCTTTATCCTTCTTGTCTCGTTTTGTTATCTTTTTGATTTTGTTAAATCTCTGTCCTTCTGCAGCAGTTATTAAATAGAAGCTTGTATAGACTTTTGTTGATTGCTGTACATTGACATTGACAGTTATAGATGAAAGCTATTGTCTCATTTATCAGTTTCTCAGACTATTGATTAGGACTTGATTACTCGTTGTTCCAGTTTTAGTTTGCTTAAAGCCGTTTTTGTAATTCGAAATGAACCAAAAAATATATAAATTTATTTCGCTACGTTTTTTCTCTGGTTTTTCCCCTTTTTCTTTTTATAATTTATTGTCAGTTGTATTTTCACTCTGTATTTTCAGGTTTGTTCATACAAAACTAAGGTGCTCAGTCGAAGGTGCTGCATTTCTTGATTTGAGTGAATCATTAAATGCTATTTCAGCGAATTCATTCAATCGGTTATTTCATGCTGTACGAGTTTTTATTAATCGTAATGCTGTAGTATTTTGTAAGTTCAATCTCTCCCTATATATATATATTAGCGTGGATCTCATCACTTCTGTTTGCTAGCCAGTTTGATCGTGAAGTTTTTATTGTATATCTAGGCAACAATTTTCGACATAATCAACTGTTGATTTTGTCGGCCTCGAGTTCGGTTGTTTGTTGTTAATGCTTTTCCTTTCATTATATGGATATTTATTTTGATTTTTTTCTTTCTTTGACCTGATTCTCGCATAATTTACCTGAGGATGAAATTATGAATGATTGGAAAACTGAACAGATTGCAATAAAAATTGTATTGGACAAATCAGGATAGGTTCCTTATCTCCATCTGAATGAACTCCGATTAGCTGTGAAACACCACAAAGTATCCGCTTATATCAATGCACAATCAATTCTAGGCTCATGTTCGACTAAGAAGGTATCGAAATCTTGGATAGAGAGACCTGAGGATTTTTAGAGGTTTGGCACCATGTATATCAATAACCCGTAGACTTATCGAAATCAGTCCAGTTTATCAATTAATCCAAAAAACCCATAAGTAATAAAACGGTGAGCGATATGTTCATCAGACCTGTTGACTGAACTTTATGTGCATAAGCATTGGTTTAGTAAAATTTAATTTAAAATGATAAACAGAGAGTCTGTAGCGTCTTGTTTTATATGTGCAGCATCCCTGCAAATTCCTATGATATCTGTTTTGAATATAGAATTGTCTTCAACTATTGTTTTAGCTGATAAACCAAACTTTTAAGTTGGAAAGACTGTAAATAGTGCTTTGTGTTTTGTTAAAATATAATAAATATAGAAATCAGATACTATAAGCTAATTAATTTCCAGTCCTAGTTTGTCGTTGTTAATCTGAGATTATCAATTTAATTTCGCCGTATTATATGGTAATGAAGCCATATCATTTCGAAGGTTTCAAAAACACTTCTTCTAGACTGAAGCGGAGTTTCTTGCCGAATTCCTTAAACCTATTCACGAAAGAATATGTTGCGCATATCCATTTTTCTATGCTATCTGTTGTTGTTTATATTCATATTTCTGACCAGATGTAACACAACTTAATGCATATTGTGGTGGTGTAGTAAATTACGTCGCTCTTGGAATTATCCTATTCAATGGTCCAATTCAAACAATGTCAACATCTGAAATCACTGTTCTTATTAGTCAGGTAAATAGGTATCAAATAATTCGTTATGTGTATACAAATTTTAGTTCTCGTTGTTGCTGATGTTGCTACTTTAACTTTTTCTTGACAATCCACGTCTTGTAAATTCTAACAGTTAACTCCCTATTGATTTTACTGTTTGTTATCATTCAATTTGTCCGGTATATGGTTTATGGCTATGATTAGTTGTGTGATATCTATATGTGTATGTATAGATAAAGTACATAAATGTTCGTACCTTACTATCACCTCTCTTTATTATCGAATGATAAGTTTTGTTGAATTCAATTCTTTCGAAAGTGGGAAACGTAAAAAGGTGATAGTACCACGGGTTCGTAAAATCCAGCAAATAAAAAGAACAGTGACGATTGTCATATCATCTAGTTTTTAATGCTAATCGAAACCTATCGACCACCTTTGCAATGTGGCCATTAGGCTGAGTGAATCCACATTTCTGTTTCCTCTGTCTGATATTCGATATTTGAAGGCGACTGGTAAAATTATCCGGACTATTAGTTCCTTACTAGTTGGGGACCACAATATTTAGGTGGTAAAGTTGTCTTTGACCGCCACACTAGACGACTCAAATCTCTAGAAAGTTATCACCAATTTTTGTTAATGAGTACCAACCACTACGAAACGGACCTAGTAGTCCCTTTCCTCAGCAACCATCTGACAAAAAAGGAAACAAACTAGGACAGTAATTTTGCGCTACACAGTTCAAGCACGTAATTCAATTTTTTAATATGTTCTTGGGGAAGAAAGTTTAATTTCTAAATCCATGATCTATTTCTGTAGAATTCCGAAGTCTTCCTTAGTCATAAAGCCAAGTCACTCAAAGGTCCATATGATACTTCTGTCACATTTCTATCTGACCAGAAACACTTCTTCCAATGATATATTGATTATTGTTGGCTGATTGGTGGATTAAAAAACCTTTGTTCCTGATTTCTCAGCGTAGTTGGTGTGTTGTAAGTTTCGTAGTCTATATGTGGTGAATAAATTCTGTAAACAGATCACTGAGACACAGAAAATTAATCTAACATTGTTAAGTATTTTCAAAGATTAAGTATTTAGATTGAAAATCAACAAATATTTAGTTATTTATCTAGATCTCGAGTTCGGGAACAAAACACTGATCTATGGACTCAATCACGTAATTACTGAGGCGGTAACTCACAAATGTCATTACTGTATAAAAATTCAATTGAAGTTGGAATTTTGCACTATTTAGTTTCAGTTCAGTCATACCGTGTTTACCCGGACATATGTTTTGGATTTAACCTTGTTTACTGGGTGTATATTGTTTATGAGTTTTAAATTTAAATAAGATTGCAACTTATTGACATTTCCTTCATTTTTGAAATATTTTTCAACGAATATTACTTCGATTTTTGGTGGCTCAGTTGTTACGATACTCAAATTACAACCAGTAAACTACAGTTTTAAGTCCGGCTCTACCTATTTCAGTTTAGGCAGTCAGGTATTAACACTAGCGCTTATACTTGAAGAATGGCTCAAAGTAAAGGATGCAAATATTTGTACCTATCAATTGAGTTTTGAAAATGTTTGCTGCAAAATTATGAATGCAGTTTACAAACAAATCTATTCTATTATGTGGTTTGATGTAGTTGTCCATGTCTTACACTAGTCATTCTAGTTATTGTCTAAAAATAATGCTTATTTTTGTGTTATATTCTTTTTCCTATTAAAATAAATATTAAAGTATTATCTTTTTGTTCTTTTCCTTATTTTCTCAAATACACACAAATAATTCTAGACTAGTTTCTTTCTTCTGTATTTAATTAATAAATTAACAAATTTAATTAATTTATCTACTGATATTGCTCAATTAGTCGGTGTTGGGCATCGGTAAGTAAAATAAATATTTATGATTTTGATCAATTTCAAAGTATAATGTTGAAATTTTATAAGATTTTTGGTGGTAAGGGGAAAGTGGTATATTATTATTATTATTATTATTATTATTATTATCATTATTATTATTATTAGTGCTCCCGATGAGATTAATATTCTTTAATCGTACGTATTATAGCGGTACAAGTCTTTTAGTACGTTTTAGCTAATGTTCAGACTTATTTATTGAAATGAAATATTTATTCAGTTAGTATAAAAAATATATTAAATGTGAAGGAAAGATTATAACGTAATATTAACACTCAGTTTTTATAAATGTTGATATGTTAGACAATAATTAGGTCTGATAGTCGTGTTTTAATCACATTGACATTTAAGTGCTGTGAAAAATTCAAATCTTCCAAATATTTTTGTTCCAGTTAACTTTTCAGTCGGTCATACGCAACGTAAAACCTGGAAAATACGTATGTCGGTTCAAATTACCATACCCTACTAGCTTAGCACCTGACCATTGTTGCTACTCTGACGTGGTGGTTGGGCTTTTCTATCGTAATGAAGCAACCGATCTATACTGGCTGGAACAACCGTTCCTCAAGGTCTTACCGTACCAGACAGGTCGGTTGAAGGGCGGTAAGACCAAAAGCAACAAGCCCAAGGTCCGAAGGCGAAGTCGTACTGCCGACTGTACAGAGGTGTGACAGCAGTAAGATGTTTCCTTCAGACAGACAGCATCAACAGTGATGCTGCCTTTCCACAAGGACGGGTGGGGTTAGGAAATGTCGACCCTAAAAATCCACACCTCACCTTATCCCACGGTTATTGGTCTCAGGCGGTAAGGTCTCAATAAGTACTTACTTACTTACTTACTTACTTACGCCTGTTACTCCTCGTGAAGGAGCATAGGCCGCTCACCAGTATTCTCCATCTAACCCTGTCCCGGGCAATCCTTTCGAGGTCTGCTCCCAATTCTCGACGTAATGTGTTCTTTGGCCTTTCTCTTTTCCGCTTCCCATCACGATTCCAAGTTAGCTCTTGCCTCGTGATGCAGTTTGATGATTTGCGTAATGCATGTCCTATCCATTTCCACCGTCTTTTCCTAATTTCCTCTTCAGCTGGAACCTGATTTGTTCTTTACCACAGAAGGTTTTCCCCTTATGTATGTCGATGCCTACTGATGCAGAGACTGCTGCTACACTGGCTGTTTTTATCTGCATTTGTTCGTGTGTATGCGATAGGAGGGCAGGGTCATCTGCGAAGTCAAAATCGTATAATCGGTTCTGAACTGTCCATCGTATGCCGTGTTTTCCCTCAGATTTTGAGGTCTTCAACATCCAGTCGACCACCAAAAGAGAGAGGAAGGGAGAGAGTAGACAGTCTTGACTGACTCCGGTCCTTACTTGGAATGCATCTGTCAGCTGTCCTCCATTCACTACTTTGCACTGTAATCCGTCGTATGAGTTCCGGATAATATTGACAATCTTCTCAGGAACTCCGTAGTGTCGAAGAAGTTTCCATAACGTTCTTCTATCTACACTGTCAAATGCCTTTTCATAATCAATGAAGTTGATCGATTCCTGAAAATTCTGACGATGAGAGGTATCTCTACAAGCATGTCTTTTAAAAAGTTAAATAAAAATGGGGAAAGTAGACAACCGTGACTAACACTGTTTGAAGTTATCGATCCAGATGACAGTTCACCACGATGTCTGACTCGACGAAATTATAAGTATATACGTATTTGGATTCTCTATTTAGGATGTAAAATAAAATCTCCAATACTCTTTACCTCCTAATCGGAATTCTTTAATCAATAACAATTTGTGATGGGAACCATTTTTGAACTTTGGAAATATCTATGGTTTAAAACGCTTTAATAAATGAAATGAAAATTTTCTTGTTTATTTGATGTTCAGTTGTATCTTTCCTCTTTTTTTAAACAATCGATTTTATGACTATTCATTTTTGTTTCTTTTTACTCTCGTAAAATTAGCGTTGTAAACTTGGACAAATATTTAAGAGAAATTAATTTATATCATACTCCAGCTGCTTATATCGCATCTTATCAAACTCAATGGTTATTTATTACATCAAAAATATTCAGGTATGATTCAAAGGGAGATAATTTCCTGTTCTCTTTTTTTATTGATCAGTTTTAATAAAAATTTTTTTTAATAAAAAGTATTCGTTGGTATATATTACCTGGTCTAGTTGCCAAGCATTTGGTTTCGTTGTCGCTGAACTCATTACCGTCTACTTTATGTAGAGATGTGTGAGCTGTTCAATTATTCCGCAATCTTTTTCATTGAGATCATGAAGCGATTGATGTTAGACCACCGTTAGAAACCTGGAGGCACTGGACGGCCGTTCCTTTCCATTGTGGGGCTCCTCAGCAGTGCGCATCCACGATCCCCGCTCGCGGGACTCGAACCCAGGACCTTCAGTTTCGCGCGCAAATGCTTATCTTACTGGACCACTGAGCCGGCATCCAATGATGATAGTGTCTAACATCAATCAATCCACGAAATTGCGCGACCATCTTCCATTTTGCTGAGGTAGATACCTGTCTCTACCCGACACGGATTAGCTCCACTGGTGACGGCTTCTCACTAGAACTCCGAGAATTCCCTCACGAAGCTAGTCATTAGTGAGTGCATGATAGTTATCAGTATAGGGGTTGTGGAGATATCCACCAACCCGGTTAAAGCGCCGAACATTCACTTTTTTCCTTTTATTTTCGTAAACAACATCCTCTCCGCGAGAAGACAAAGTAGGACTTCCCTTGCAGTGAATTTATACGCGTGACCATTTGAAAGCATTTCAAGCGGGAGAGCGGACTCCCTCATCCTCGGCCGTATCAGCTGGGTGGGCAAATAGGAATAATAATGGGGCGGATTGCATGCATATAGCATTCAAATCTCTTTAAACCTAGCACACAGTATTAGCGTCATACATTGTCCCATTGCCCCTGATAAATCAGGCAACCCGAAAGTCACGAGAATACTATCAAGGCATACGAGAGGCTAGGTACCCTCTATATGGAATACTATGTATGCCCATTCTCCAATTGAATAATAGATATAACTAGTATTTATTTTAATATTTTAAATTATTAGTTGATCAATAATTAGTTTATGCAACAAATGTATACGTATATAACTGAGCTACCCTATCCACAACCGACACAATGTATGACCGATATATCTACTTACACTAACTGATCAATCACTAATGTATGCCAACTATCATGAAATTTAGATTCAGTGCATCCTAGCTATTTCTTCAACACAACACAACATCAAAACAGTGCACATAACATCGAATCACTTAGAATAGTGCCCTTCACTTTAACTTGATCAATAAAATTCTTTCAATACTGACGGTTATATCGATTACTTCTCATTGGTTAATCAATAATGTAAACTGACATAATCTGCGTATACAAAGTATCTCACTGTTTTTTGGTTCATACATGTGACTTCCGTTTGTGTTGCATTGCGCTTAACTTTGGGATATTTAATATTGTATTGGTTGACAGTTAGTTTGACAATCTTACAAAAGTATTATCGAAGTTATGGGCAGTTTCTACGTAAGCTACTTCAGTTTTTACACGGAACATAATATTCTTGGTGGAAAGCATAATCTATCCGTACCGTGAACTTCTATGTAAGGTAATTAATCATGTTGAGTAGTTTTCCATCAATTTACACTGGTATTTGAACCACTTTCTTCTGTTCACTGGGGCATTCATTACATAGTAAATATGACGTACACGATACCGTATATCATATTTTTTTCGATCTTTTTATATGTAATTTAATTTAACACCATATCAGCAAAGTAACTAAACACACCATCGTAATGTTCAACGACAAATTTCACGTCTTGTTCAGAGGCTTGTTATACAACTTGGATTCCTGTTCTGAATTAGATGTACTTGGGCGGTGTTCGAAAATCAAATGCTTCGACTATCACAGATCTAAGATCATGTAATCTATTTTGAGGATATCTTTTTTGCACAAAACAATAAATTTGTTTTAAAAATTTCTTTTCTTTTTCTCATCCTAGCCCCATACATGATATCATTGATAGGGATAATGATAATAATTGTTTCCTGAATGATATTGTTTTTCAAATCAACCATGTATCAATATGTATTCCATTGAATCCTAATAATGTTTTAATTCATGGTATGTTAATAATTTGGCTTCTCTATTTTAATGTACTGGCATTCACGGTAGAATTTGATCAACGCTAAGCAAGAATTGATATACATGGTATTGACCATTATTCAGTGATCAGTCAATTAACTATAAACCTCAGTTTTATATGAAATCAAAAGCGGTCCAGATAGCTCAGTGGTAGTGTTTCTGACCGTGAAGCTAGGTGATACAAAATGTAACCTTTCAGAGAGAATCAGTTCTCGCAAGATTACAGTTACACCTTGTTGACAAGTGCCAAATAGCACGAAACCTAGGTTGACGATTTCCTGTCGACTACCTCTAACCACTGCTTTACTCAGGGTATATTCTCTTCATCTTAGCAAGAATGGCGATTAACGCCTGTAAATACTTACGATAAAAGTATGAAAAACACACACTATATGCAGTGGATTAAAAATAACCCCTAACATTTGATAGTTATTATTTTCGAGTTCAACGTGTAACGATATTTTGATGCTATCAAAAGTGTGAAAAAAGAGGATCTCTGTTTGAATTTAGAAAAGAAAAGAGTAAATAAAGAAATTCGAACAGATTACCAAGTGAACGTAAACAATACCCTTTTATTTGTAGTGATTTTAATAATAAATATATTTTTTTTATATTCCAATGAGTAGAAATGTGTATTTCTGACGTTTCGTGACCTAATGTAAGTTTACTCATTGGAAATATAACAAAAGTATATTTATTATTAACTTTCTACTCAATACTAAATTTATTTGAAACTATCAAATTCAACCTTGGTATTAATACTTATAGTAATTTTAAGTAGTCGACAACAATTAGTGATATATTAACGGGAATTCAAAACAATAGGATAATCTGAATTATATATGCCTAACAATTCGGCTTAAAGTCGACTACATATTATTCAGTATGATACCTCTTGAAAATGAATTGATTAATTTCAAAGATAGTTTTAATTGCAAAATTTATCATCTTTATGGTAATTGGCAGTTATCAAAACTGTTGAGAAAAGAGGAAAGAGTTAATGTGACATGAAATTACTTTTCATTTTGAACTGAATGATTTTACGTGAAAACCTATTCTTATTACAAAAAAGATAACCAATATTGTCAAGATTATTGCTTTCCCATTTGTTAAGCGTACTACAAAGAAAATTACTGGTTACAACAGAACTTGTTGACGACAATACTAGACTTTTTTAGACATTAATAATAGTAAAGAGGAAAGCTTCGATAGTTGGTAGGAATAATGTATCTGATTAAGAATATAGGTAAATGAATGTGAGACTGTTAAAATTGTCTATGAAATGAGTGAAAAGAGTGTCTTCAGTTAATGCTTAACATTTGTACAAGATTTAGCCAAAATTTGCTGTGAATGTCGGAGATAGTAATTGATAGATTGGGCATAACTCAAGTGTGGTAAATCGTATAATAATAGTTCATAGGTCAAAATGAAGCTTATAATAGGAGGAACACGAATATGAATAGTTTGGTTATTTAACAACTATACGATGAAAATATACGTATAGTTTTATTCCAGAAATAGATTCCAACAGTTACCATTCATTATTCTCATTGAAATATAACAATCACTAGCACATCATACTTATTAACTTTTTTTCCTCTATTTCACTGTAGATAGAAAATTTTTTTATTTGTCTAAATTTTTTCTCTTTATAGACTTATGTTTAACTATTAAAAAGCATGAAGCCCTACTTATCACTGGTCCGAGCGGTGTTGGTAAAACTGCTTTATTTCGTGTTTTAGCTGGTCTATGGCCAGGTCTCATTTTAATGAATAATTCAGTGAATAATAATACAATCAATTCATTATATCATTTCTATCAGTCGGATAATTTCCGAGTTGTTTTTATTCCACAAGAATTATACATACCATGGATTACAATTCAATTAAATGATGAATTTTACAAGTTATTAACAAGTTTACATTATTTCATGATGGCATCAAATTCATTAATATTATCAAATATCCATAGAGAACTACATTTGTGTTATTTATTATTGAATATAGCATATTCTTTCGATAGTCAATCTACTAGTGGGCTTGATGCTACAGCTACAACTTTTGATATTGACAATTCTGAAACAAGTAAGCAATTGCTTTTAATAGATTCTTGTTTTCTGTTCGTCCATTATAGTTCTCATATCAGTGTGATAATTGCTTAAAACTCATTGAAAATTGCGGACATTAGACAGTTGATTTTCCCGATTCAAAATTTTTCTACTGGATGGATAGCCGTAATCCCCTACCCACTCTTTAGTCATAGACTTTCAAATCGAAATCTAGTAAATTGGATTTCTAACTCTAACTCGAAATACAACTCAATAATCTCCCAATATCACTTATCGACAGCTGACTCAGTCGAGATATGGCTGGCTACACAGGCTAAGATTCCTCAGAATAACTTCGGAATATTCAGTTCGTCATTGTTAACGTAGGATCTGTATTCATTAGTGATTCTGAAGTTAGCTTGTAATCAACCCATAATGTTTATTTTTTATTAGTTGGATTATGGAGAATAATTCAATTTCGATGATAAATCTTATCACAGACCTAGGTTATTTAGAGATATTCTAAAAAACGACAACTAAACAAATGTCCAGTACATTCTATCAAAATTTCGTAAATTCTTTGATTAACAATGTTTGAAGTTTGTTAGACGTCCAATCTTCGAATAAGAAAAAATCTTATAAAGATTCACCTGGGAACATGCCTTAGTTTGGTCAAAGTAGCTGAGTTTGATGATCAGTTTATTTATATAATAAATCTCATCATCTGACAAACACAAATACACAAGACATCCAATTTTTGTCGGCTTATTCTTCGTTTTGTATACAAGATGTACATTTAGGTATCTATCAAAAAGCGAGTACACTGTTCACAAATTTTTGTGCCACTGGGTGACTATAAAAATAATTTTCAGCTGTAGACTTCCCTTAACCGTAATTATTTATAATATTTCTAGCATCTGATTCCTTTTACCAATTTGAAAAAACCAGAATAATATGAATGCCTTATATTTTGTGGTTTCGCATCACTTACTTAATGTTTATTTTGTTATTCTAACTAAATTCATTATTGTTTCATGTATGTCAGAACCATTCTTTCATTCATCGGCCCCCCTAAATTTGTGATTTCCATCTTCAAATAACCTCACTTTCATGCATATATATATATATATATATATATATATATATATATATATATATATAGGGAGAGAGAGAGAGTCAGACATTAACACCATGGGATATCGAATTAGTGGTCTAGATGTTAAGTGTTCGCCCAAAATCGAAGGTTCTGGGTTCGAGCCCACTTGTGAGATCGTGCGTGCTCACTGCTGAGGAGTCCCATACTAGAATGGAATAGTCATCCAGTCCTTTCAGGTTTTCAGTGGTTGCCTAGCTTAAATTGACTCGTAATCTCATCTGTGGAAATACTACAATCTCCGCAAATTCCTGAATAGCTATATATATACCTCAAAGTTACACCACAATACATCATTTAGTTGTAAGCAGCTGATGAGAAATCAAGGAAAATATTAACTTCCTATTATCGTGCCCCAATATAATATTTTTCTTCAAATTACCTCTAGGTCAACCACGAAGTGAGTAATTCTGAGATCTGAAGTATAGTTCTATGTGAAATGATCGATCAGTCAATGAAGTTGTGCAGTGTTTATTAAGTCTTGCCCACAATAATTTGGAAGATAACTAAAGGGTGAGTAGATTAGAAAACAATAGCTGGTTCGGTAAATTGACTATAGGTATCCATCAAATCTATGTATCGTCGCAAAATCACCCCTATGTACCAAAATCAGACAGATCGTATTTGTGTATTTCAGAAATCAACATTAGAAATTTGAACCCCTTCAAAATCATTGTCACTCAAAAACCAACACATTCACTTCAACTGAATGATAGATACAACAGTGCAAAAAGATAAATCCAACACCACTTACAAAATAAATTTTTCCAAGTGAGAGTGATAGCACATTGGATAAATTGGACATCAAACTCACTTGATCGTACACGCATTTCGACTTGTAATCAAACAACACGGTGATAAAAAATAGTCCTATTAATATATTTAGACAGCCACAGGTGCGAATGCAATTGAGAAAATGTCGAACCTCTGGAGTGAACCGATTCTGTGGATATCGAGTAATTTCAAGGGTTGTATAATTGAGATAGGTATCTATAACCACTAGACATAGACCTAATTAATCATTTCATAAATAAATGGTGTGAGGAGAATTGGACAAGTTAGTGATGAATAGGAATGTTAAAACAAATATATTGATAAATATAGATAAACAAAGTGTCATCGAATTTAATTAGTCACAAACATTATTATCAAATTTAGATTAATACAGTGCCGTTAAATCTTCGTTTCCTATCCGTTCAATATATATTTGTTATGTCTTCTGGATGAACGCCACTTGTTATATCTGATCGTCGCTGTTTATTTTGTCGGAATCGTTTATTACTTATATTTGTAAAAACGAGGAACCAGTGCAATTCTCACGACTCAAAAGTAAGAACACAAAGACTGGTATAAGTGAAGATTTATTAACCCCAAAACACGACCATAATGGCGACGACTACTCTAATCGAAAATACATTCACTTATATATTGATTGTACACTTATTTTTTACTAATAATTAGGATGCAATCACATATCTAAAAAAAAGTACTTGAAGCTATAATAAATCACATACTGAGTATAATTCATGTTCATTGAATACAAGAATATCGGATGTTATACAGAATAAAACATCATACGAGAAAACAAAATAAATACTACATACAGTAATTATCACATTGAATCAAGACGAAAGTAATGTTGAACAAAAAATATTAGCAATACAAATATAAAATTGCCAAAATAAAATTCATTCTATTATTGTATATCTGTATTTTCATTATTTACTGGTTTATGAATAACTCTGCTATTCAGTTTAAAAGCATTTCATGATGAAATAGATGTACTTGTTGTTCGTTGTGATAATTAAATGCCACATTTTAAGTTACTGATCGTATTGAAAGTTAATCGGTTCACTAAGAATCATCTATTGACATAGAAGTTTATTGGGCTTATTTTCTACATTGAACTCAGTAATCCATTAGATAACTCGTTGACATTCGAAACAGAAAATGTTAACAACAACACAAGAATTCACGTGTATCTGGCTAATTGTTCCTAAATAAAATGAAATCCGGGTTTTGGATTCAACTGTTAGATATTATTATTTATCTAGCCCCCAAATGCCCTGGTACGGCCGAGAGTGGGGAGAGTCCGCTCACATGGCCACGCGTATATAACCTCTTCCAGGAAAGTCCTACTCATTGCCTTCTCGTCGCATGGGTGTTGTTTACGAAAATGAGAGGACGAAAAGCGAATGTCCGGCGCTCTAACCAGATCCCAAACCAATGGTGCACATGGGCTCCAATATCCTGAAGGAACAAACAGCGTATGAACCAATCGTTGGTCACCGGCTACCATGGGACTGCATCTCCTTACGATGCTCCACTGCCTTGTGGGTCAGACGTTCAGGTCGAACGCTCGGAGTGTGGCCCCCTAAGAAAACCACCTGTTTCGGTTTGGGCACCCGAGCAGTATCACAGACCTCACACAAATTAAATGAGATTTGTGTGGCTCATATGTATTTGGTGCCTCCCTGTACCAATACCTATGTGTTAAAATAAATAAACAAATAAATATCTAGTCCTATTCAAGATAAATTATTAGGAAGAGTTTATAGACTTATAGTCATTCAGTCAGTCAGCTGCAACGTAGGACCAAGCACATATATGCATCGGTTCAAGTTGCCATACCGCATTAGCACATCAAGATGAACACCGGATCCATAGATGTAGTTAAGTCAATGGTGGTAATACATAAAAGAAAGACTGCGCATAAAGATATAGTACAGAAAGAAAGAATTAGTTCGTAGAACTTTATGAAGCGATTTTAATCGCTTAGTTTAAGGGAAGACAGAGAGTGAATACACCTACGCCATTGTGATCGATTGTGAGCCATGTCACCAAGAGTCTCCAACCATTGGTTGCGATGGTCACGCGAAACCCAACCAAGTAATCTGCGTCTACCAACATGGCTCAGACCAGAGGTTAGTGACTTCAAGCACTGATGCGATGTTTTTGTTTGGCCGCCCCTAACTTTCAACCATCCCAAACAACAGTCAGCATTGCTCTTTGTGGTAATCGATGTTCAGGCATACGTAACACGTGGCCCAACCATCTCAGTCAATGAAGACTTACAACCTCATCAACTGATTTACCATCATTCCGTAATACCCTGTGTCTAACCTCACTATTACTTACCCGGTGATCCCAGCAGATGCGAGCAATATTTCTAAGGCATCTGTGGTTAAATACTAGTAGCTTATGCGTATCTTCTAGTCTTAATGGCCACGTTTCGCAGACGTAAAGTAGAACAGAATGAACTGCTGAGCAATATACTTGTTGTTGAATATGTTCAACTAGAAAATAATATCAATCAAATTATTTGTCGATTAATTTTTTGACAAAATATTTCACTCAAATTATAACATTGATTTATTTCTTGATGTATATAATAAATAAGGTTATAACTTCTAGTCTATTATTCTTTTTCATATTGTCGTCTATTTTATTTCATTTAAAACTAGACTTAACTAGTCATAATTCTACTAGAAAACAAAATTCCAAATGTTTTATTCGTGTTTATAATTTGGATTCTTTTGAAAAAGCATTAATTTTACTCGTTGAATTTCGTCTTATCAAATTGGAACAATGTAATGCATTAAAACAAATTCTTAAATTATATTATAACAATGAAAATAATAATAGTAATAATACTGTTAACAATGATAGTATTTATTCTAAAAATCAATATCAAATTCCATTATTAACTGATATTTGTTATAATGGTTGTTCTGTTAGTTCAGAAAAATCCGAATATGAATTTGATCAGTAAGTTAATAGAGATGAATGATCTGTTTGGGCTTTTTTATTTTGTTCTGTTTAAGAAAATTTGTAAAATGTAGATTTTATTTGCTTATATTGATAAAACATATTAAGTGACGATTTATGACGAAACATAAATGCTAATGTATTAGTTTAACGTTATGTTATACGGTCGTACAAATCTGATACTGATGTATACACTTAAGAAGTTAAGCTCCTAATCGAGCTATTTTAGTGAAGAAACTAGGAGTGAGTAAGAAGCTTATTATTGGCTAGTGAAATCGTGAATATAAGTACAACTCATTCGTAAATATATATATATATCCTTTAGAAAATGAAAAAAAAAATTTTCAACCAGTTGCATTGCTTTTTCTCGTTCCTAAGTAGAAGTGAAGCAAAATCTTGGTCAGTAAGTGTTTCCATAAGCATCTTCCACTTAACATTTGACTTGCCTGATAGGTGCAGCTTATCTTTCAGTCAATTAGTTAGGATCAACCTAGTTAGCTTCACTAAGAACTCCACAGTGGCCTACTGTAGTAAGACAGGGACTGATCTTAGACTGAAATTTATTTAGTAACCCATAGTTGCTAATCATAAATAACTAGTACTCACAGTTCAGAAAAATACATCTGTACCTATACTCGTCAAACAATTAATATTACTTTTTGCATGTAACTACATAAATCTTCACAAAACCATTGTGTAATGTGTCATTAATCCCTTCTTCTTTATTCTGTTGACTTTATTCTTTTTCAAACCATATTCTGGATCTTTAGTCTTCGTACTGTTATTATTAATATTATTGTATCCATTCCCTTGCTGTTCATTTTGTGCTTCTCGTTTTGCAGCTTACTTATTCGATATTCGGGTGCGCTCAATTGTTGTAACCAAACAGATAGAGATGTGGAATGATCTGCTGGTTTAAAGTCGTTTGTAATGATGCAGATCCATTTATTGTTTGTCTTTACTTGGATCTTAAGTTTTAAATTATCCAATATTTATTATTTAGTAGATTCTTTTTTTCTTTTCCATTGTCATTGTCTTTTTTCGTCTTTTTACTTGACTAATTTATAGTTTCTTGAATCGTATCTTCGATGTTTAATCTTTCCTAATACGACCGATACTGTCATTACCTCTACTATTCTGGGATTTCGCTTGATAAATTTATCTATCTGTACTAAATGGGGTATAGCAATTTGAACCGATGTGCATACGCAACATTGATGCTGTAAATACTGCTACTAATTTGACATTTGTCTGGATAGTTTCACCGTCAACATAGTGTTGAAACTGGAGTCGATGCACATAACTTCCAAGTTCTATATTACTTATAGTTAACTGACTTCTGTAATGTTTTACAATGTGAACCAGAAAATACACTTTGGCTAAATCTAATCCAAGTTTAATAACTAGATAATTGGTTAACTTAACTATTTTCCATCAATAGAAACACTTATTATCGATAGATTTCGCTTTTTATTCACTACTTTTTTTCTTTTTTATTCCTATTTATCATTAATAGACCGTTTTTCAATTATTCACCCGGTGAATTACAACGATTAACAATTGCGGCTGTATGTTTTTATCAACCAGATATGATATTTATGGATGAATCTACAAGTCAATTAAGTGTAGCTGATGAAGCACAAGCCTATTTAAGTCTTTCTAAAAGAAATATTACACCAATTACAATTGCACATCATAACTCTGTCCGACAATATCATTTGATGGAATTACAATTAATGTCCTTCGATGAACAGACTACTATTACTACTACTGAAACAAATCAATTGAAAAAATGGAAGTTGATTAAAATTGAGTAAACTATATATATACCATCATAGATACACGGTGCAATCTCATCATTGTCACCGTGCTAGACAATTTAGATTATTCTCTTCTTATTTTGTTTAAATGTCAACTTATGAGTTTTAGTCATTTCTTCCTTTCTGTTTATTTATCATCCTCTAAGATAGTAGTAGTATATTGTAATCTTTTTTAAAATTATAATAATAAACTTGACCAACATGTATTTATCATATTTTTAACCGTTAGTGCAAGAAATGCGTTTATTGTTATTTGTTTTATGTGTAATTCATGTTTCACAAATACGTTTTCTCAGGTTCCTACAGCTTGTTGGGTTTGTTTGCTTTTTCAACAAAAAATAGAATTTCCGATACATTTATACTGATATTTTTTTGAAACTTGTGAGTAGGTTTGTTTCCTAAAATATTTTAACAATAACTATACATTCTATTCTGTACTATCGTCGAAATTAGTTTCAATAAGCTTACTGACATCTCTTTAATTTATCAATTCTTTAAGTCTAGTCTATAGTGTTATATTCATAAAGAACTGGATACTTGTGTTTAAGATGTTTTGCGTTATTTCAATCAGTTTTTAAACTTCATAACAGAATAAATAATTAGGAGTATAAAATAACAGAATTTTTCATTCATTTTGCTTTGGAGATTAATTCTAATTAGTTACTGACAACTGCCAAATATACCTAGAAGATATATCAGTAAGTTGTGATGACTAAAACAAATTGATAAAATTATTATCAAACCTAAGATGCGGTCGCTGCCGCGTAAGTGTTTCCTGTTTGCTTAATATTTTTCATATAAATATGGTGGCTTTTTTTTTTAAATTTGTGTACATTGTCTTATTACTACTCACATTTATTCAGCAATTGTTATGGTTGATTATTTACACGTATGTTGTGGATGTTTCAGTGGTAGATTCAGGCTATCTGTTCGGGATCTGAGTGACCAATGGTTGAAGGTGTTGGGTGACAGGACTTATAGTTGACTAGAATGTCACAGGTACACTAACTGATTGTCCTCCATCAGATCTTGACTTTTATTACCCTTTCAGATGTACCTTTGCATTTCGTCTTTTTGAATCATATTTTCAATACTTAGTCTTCCTCGCTGTTATTCTTACCACAATTCTTTTAAATTGTCTGCTATTGATTATGTTAATTCCACATCCTTGTGCTAATATGGTATGTTAAAATGGACTTATGCACAAGCTCTACGTTGATTATTACTTATCAACTTTCAATGGTTATTAAGTTTAAAAGTAAGTGGTCCTAATCTGATCTGGTGTTTAAAAGTCAGATCCCATGATCGTAAGTGTTGTTAGAATAGTAAGCAATAATTCACAAATATTTTGAATTCTGGAAAGTGTTTTAGCTGTAAATAAATCCCCAAAATAAATAACTCTGTAAGTTTTCGACATTGGATGCTGACCATATTAGTTTTAATGGGCTCATCTATCTGAAGGCGCCCAGTCATGCATCCGCACCAGATCACGAGTGGAAACGCCGTGATCAACAACCCCTGCAATCGCTAGCCAGATTAAATCAGACGGTCCTCGATATATTGATAGCTTATCAAATATATCTTCGAATCTCCTCGTTTTTGTCTTTTGATTTCACTTGGTGGATACGCTTCATATTAGGTGTTACTGGTTAAAGTGTTGTCAAACTCCAAATACCTATGGCATCTTCAGTGTGTTATATATGCGGTTGCTAAATTAATGCCTATATATTCAGTACGGTTTCATTTTCATACATTGATTTATTCTGTTGATCTTGCGCTTCTACAAGACACATTGTGTTCAGTAACTCGACTGTTTTAATACAAAAAGCAACTATGTGTGGCGAAAAATTTATTATATATGAAAGTAGACTAAGTGAAATCTATTTTTTTCTACAGCTTCGAATCTGTTATTATTCGATTAGTGTCTTTAGTGGTATGCCAAAGGAACTTTCAAAACCTTGCCACCTTTGTTTACTGAGATTTACATGATCCATGTGATGAAATTCAATGCGATTATTTCTTTGTTTTATGTTCTAATCAACGACAAATTGTCAGTTTGTATATAGATATCTTTAATGAATTGAATAAATCACATCCCTCAACTATCGTGGCTGAGTGAAAATATTCAGTCCCCGTTGTTGAGAAGAGGCTATTATGGGGTAGCAACTGTTTTTCTTGCTATTAGGGCATACTGACTGGACTGAAGTAATTCAAGATAAGAAATGCCTAAGATTTGTTCAGTAGCGTCGGCCATTATTATACTGATTTTAACACGTCATGTAGCGTATTAGCTAGGATAATGCCTAGAAATTCAATGTTTATTGAGTAAGAACCAGGTTTCCATTTACCTGAATATCGGGATTTTAGTATTTTACTAAAACTCAGAGTGTTTAGATCTCGACTATCGTATTCTTTCTATTTTATAACACCTCAACGACATACTAATTTCTTTAACAAGTCCTATTATCCGAGTCCTTTAGGAATTGAAAGTGTATGGTTATCAGCCTTCGGAAATATGAAGAAGCAGAAAGTATTTGATCGTCATCCTGTCGGTCTGAAAAGTAAATCGGAAATCGTTCTCAGGAACACAATTCATGATGAGCACTATAGTCATGCAAAATTACAGAATTTGTTGTCAGTGAATACGAATAAATTTGTAGAATTACGGTCTACTTAGTCTTTAGTACTGCTCTTATAACAAACCTAATCCTAACATTGTAGATTTGTTATGATGCGACTGCCTAATCTATAATATCGTACGTGGAAGTCACACTATTGTATACACTGACTGATCGTATCCTAACAGTCATCAATATATGATAGAGGACACATTTAGTCTGGAGATAAAACAATATATTTAGTGTAGGCTACACAGGAATGACCACATATGTAGGGCCAAGCCATGCCATTCGATGAATTTAAATTAAACCTCCCCGCCTTCTCCATTGTTGTGTTTTTTCATTGGGGAAAAGTGGAGTGTCTGTTTCCCCAGTTGCCTCGTGGTTGAGGGTGCTAAATGTCTAGGACATCGTCACAGTGTTGTGTAAGGACAAGATCTAGAAATGGCGGTCCACGTTCCAAATCTATGTGTGTCGGTTTTACAGTCCTTCGGGATCAACAACCCACTCTATTGATGGTTTAAGAAGACTCTGTTTCATCACCTAGACCAATAACTAGCGTAGTCATCCAGGGAAGTGTATTAAGTCTACTCTTGTTTCTTATGTATATAAACGATATATGCAACATCATAAAATTCAGGAAACGATACTTATATGCTGGTGATCTCAAAATATTATACAGCTATAAGCCTGAAGCTCTGAGTGAAGGTTTATTCCAAATTCAAAATGACCTCAATAACCTAACTATATGGAGCGAAAAATGGCAATTATTATTTAACCTCAACAAGTGCGGGATCAAGCATTTTGGAAATCATACTTATGAACTACAACGTTACTTAAATAAGGGTAGAGTACAGACACTCAAATTAGTACACGACCTACAAATTAATTACACACTAAACCTAGACTATGAAAAACATGCCTCCTCTATTATTCATAAATCTAAACGGCTAATCCTTTTCATAACGAAAAATTTCTTCACATAAGCTAAGCTTACATAATACAAATTTTGTGTACGACCGTCCCTTGTTTTTGCACTTTTATCTTATGAAATATTAATACCACACACAAGATGAAAGTAGTAGATATTCTAAAATGAATCACACTCCAACTGCTAGGAAGTGACTCCACTTTCGATTACACAGTGTAGCGGTAAATAAATCCCCAAAATAAATAGCTCCGTAAGTTTTCGACATTCGATGCTGACCACAGTTTTAGGGGACTCATCTAGCTAAAGGCACTCGGTCAAGCATCTACACCAGATCACGTGTGGCAACGCAGTGCTCAACATCTGCCGCAATCGCTAGCCAGATTAGTGCATAAGATCCTCGATATATTGACAGCTTATCAAATATATCTTCGATCTCCTCGCTTCTGCCTTTTGATTTCACTTGGTGGATGCGCTTCATATTAGAAGGTGTTACTGGTTAAAGCGTTGTCAAACTCCGAATACCTGTATCATCTCCATTGGTGAGCCCGACGTGATCTGGTACACCATATTGTAAACTGTGAGTCTGTTCCTTTGTGTGATTTTATATATCATTGTCTTATTTCAAATTTCTTTTTTTTTACATTGTGATATTTTTTTCCGTGTTTTTGGGTTCATATATATATTTCCCACTCGTTCATTCTCGTACTTGATATATTACTATGACTGAACAGACACCTAAATTATTCAAGTTAAAGACTGTGTCCCCACCTTCCTTCCAACTTATGCCCTTCTGGCCAGACAACATCGAAGCTTGGTTTTGCTACGCAAAGCCGACTTCCACGAGCACGGTGTAAACGATACACGTGCACAATTCCTCGCAGTAGTCAAGGCACTACCGCGCGAGTTTAACAGGTACGTAACACCTAGTATGTTTACTAGTGATGTTTCTGATCCATACCAAACCCTGAAACATGCCATCTTTAAACGCGGAGATCTAACCGATCGACAAAGTTTAGACCAACTCCTCAACAACATCGACCTGCAACACGGTTCTGCCACAGACATGTTGCAAAGAATGCGAGAACCAGTTGGCCAAAGAACCTTCAATGACGGCCCGCTCAAACAGCTTTTCTTATCAAAATTTCCTCAACAGGTGCAAGCTGTGCTGATCTCGTTTCAGAACCATGCCGTAGACGAGCTGACTGCATCTGCTGACCGCATCCTTGAAATCACTAGATCTAACGCCAAGGTTTTTCAGTCAAAGAAAAGCCTCAAACCACCCAGAATGACATAACAGAATTATGTCATACAGTTACGCGTTATCTCAAACTCCGTAACGACCGTAAACGGTCTCACACCCTTCGAAGAAGCCCATTACGTAGGCGGTCGGTACCTAGACCTCGAGAGACGGATAATCCTGACTGGTGCTGGTATCATAACCAGTATGGAAAGTCCGCCGGAAATTACAGAAAACCCTGCCATTTTCCCAACGCAAAACCAGTCGGCACGAAGAATGTTTCGGGAAACTTCCAAGCCGGCACGCGTTAACGGCAACCGTAGCTGGCGGACATAGCCGTCTTTTATAAGTCACTGATGTGATAACGAGAGTTCGCTACCTCGTCGATACTGGCGCAGAAGTTCGTGTTCTCCTAGAGAATTCCAACTACCGGCTTCACGAATCGGTTTTAAATCTACAGCCAGCAAACGGAAAGCCTATCGCTACGTATGGCAAAAGGTATGTTTATCTTAAAGTGGGTTTATGCAAACCCATTCACTGGATTTTTGTTGTTGCGGATGTTTCTATGCCAATCATTGGTATGGACTTTCTACAACACCACAACTTAATTATCGATACGCGCAAACGGAGGCTAGTAGATGGAAATGCTAATTTATCTGTTTGCTCAACTTCTTTTTCTGGTTGCAGGTTATCTCCAGTCACTATTAAGCACACTATAGACCCCTTCTACCAACCACTACTCGATAAGTATCCTGGCATATACCAATGGAAACCGAAATTGCAGTGTGTAACCAGCAACGTTACACATCACATCACGACTACAGGACAACCTGTATTCTCTAAAGCACGCCGACTGGCCCCCGAAAAGTTAAGGTTGGCGAAAAACGAATTCGACCATATGATAAACTTAGGGATCATACGACCGTCAAATAGCCCATGGGCATCTCCGTTGCACATGGTCCCTAAAAAGGACAGCAACGAATGGCGTCCAACTGGTGACTATCGGCGATCGAATGCGAAAACCATTCCCGATCGTTACCCGTTGCCTCACATTCATGATTTGACAGCTACTTTGAAAGGTACAACTGTCTTTTCGAAAATCGACTTGGTTAAAGCGTATAACCAAATTCCTATGGCCACTGAAGACACTCTGTAAACCTCTATTATAACGCTCTCCGTACTCCACGAATTTTTGCGAATGCCTTTCGGTCTGAGAAACGCGGCACAGACTTTTCAAAGGTCCACAGACGACGTTTTACGAGGTCTCAACTTCGTACATGCGTATGTTGATGACTGCCTAAAAGCGAGTCCGGACAGAGAATCACATCTCCAGCATCTGGACCTTGTTATAAACCGACTACAAAAACATAGCATTACTGCAAACATTCAGAAATGCCAAATCGGAACCGAATCCTTAGACTTCTTAGGACACACTATCGATGCGCAAGGTATCCGACCCCTTAGAACAAAAGTGGCGGCCATTCTGGATCACCCAGAACCGACCACCATCAAGCAATTGCGCATGTTTAACGGTCTGGTAAGTTTTTATAGACGATTCATACCAAAATGCGCGTTACTTATGAAACCCCTTACTGACCAACTTCGTGGAAATGCAAAATCCATCAATCTGGATGACACCGCACGAAAAGCATTCTCCACAGTTAAGGAACATATCGCTCAAGCAACAATGCTTGCTCATCAGGACCCTGAAGCGCCCATTAGTATCGCAGTAGACGCATCCAACTCAGCAATCGGATCAGTCTTACAACAATGGGTTAACCACTCCTGGCAACCCTTGGCATTTTTCTGTGGACGGTTGCTAGACACTGAATCGAGGTACAGCACATTCGGTAGGGAACTCCTAGCTATGTATTGTGCTGTCCGGCACTTTCAACACTATATCGAAGGTCTTGAATTCACCATTTTTACTGACCGTAAACCTCTTACTTTCTTCTTAAGCTCATATTGAGACAAGTACTCACCTCGTGAGCCTTGACACCTGGACTACATTTCGCAGTTTACTTCAGATATTCGACACATTTCTGGAGCAAACAGGGTAGTTGCAGACGCCTTGTCTCGTATAAATTCCTTGAACAATTCTCAAGGAATCGACCTTTTAAAACTCGCCCAACATCAAGGACAAGACAGTGATCTTCAGCACGAGTTGGCCTCAACAACACTTAAACTGCGCGTCAAACAGATGAGAACAGGTAGGGAAACCTTACTTTGTGACACATCTACAGGTAGGGATCGCCCGATCGTGCCGAAACATTATCGACGCAACGTCTTCAATACGTTGCACAGACTTTCTCATCCAGGTGTCCGTGCAACCATCAAGCTTATAGCAGAACGGTTTTGCTGGCCTGGTTTGAATATAGACGTGAGGGAGTGGGCACGCTCCTGTGTAAGCTACCAGAAATCTAAGGTGATTAGACATAACAAATGTCCCTTAGGCTCGTTAAATACTCCCGATGCTCGCTTCGACCATGTTCATTTGGATTTGGTAGGACATTTACCAGATTCAAATGGATATTCTTATCTTTTAACATGCGTAGACCGTTTTACTCTAGAGCCAGAAGCGGTACCTAACAAGGACATTACTGCTGAAACAGTGACCCGCGCCTTCGTCGAACGATGGGAAGCAAACTTCGACTGCCCATCAACCATTACTACAGATCGTGGACGTCAGTTTGAATCTGAACTGTTCCGTTGTCTGACCATGAAACTAGGAATCACTCGCTTTCGAACGACGGCCTACCACCCACAAGCAAACGGATTAGTAGAACGTTTTCACCGACAACTAAAAGAGTCACTATCAGCCTCAAACATTTCTCAGTGGACTGACGCTCTTCCACTCGTCTTACTAGGCATACGCAATGCAGTGAAATCTGACATTGGATACGCTGCATCTCAACTCGTTTATGGTACGACTCTTCGACTTGCAGGAGAGTTCGATGGACATGGATCTAACCTCCTACGCGAACAGGCTTACAAACGCAATGCGTTCAGTTAAACCTGTTTCCACTCGACCACAATCAACTGATGTTTTTGTTCAACCTGACCTACGATACAGTACACACATCTTCGTACGTCGAGACTCGCATCAACGACCTCTCAAATCAGCATACGAAGGACCTTTCAAAGTTCTTCAACGCGAACCCAAGTACTATATAATCGATAAAAACGGAACCGACGAAAGCATCAGCATCCATAGCATCAAAGCAGCGTATTTAGAAGGAAATCCTATTCACGTCGATCTCTCTTCAGTACAATCGCACGACACAACTCCTGCCCTTATATTACCTCAGTCGACAGCCGACACACACGTTGATACTTCGGCGGTATCCGAAAATAAACTCAAAAAACGCGTTCTGGGAGAAGAGTAAGATTTCCAGAACATTTGAACGACTACTGCGAGGAATTGTGCACGTGCATCGTTTACACCGTGCTCGTGGAAGTCGGCTTTGCGTAGCAAAACCAAGCTTCGATGTTGTCTGGCCAGAAGGGCATAAGTTGGAAGGAAGGTGGGGACACAGTCTTTAACTTGAATAATTTAGGTGTCTGTTCAGTCATAGTAATATATCAAGTACGAGAATGAACGAGTGGGAAATATATATATGAACCCAAAAACACGGAAAAAAAATATCACAATGTAAAAAAAAAGAAATTTGAAATAAGACAATGATATATAAAATCACACAAAGGAACAGACTCACAGTTTACAATATGGTGTACCAGATCACGTCGGGCTCACCAATGGAGATGATACAGGTATTCGGAGTTTGACAACGCTTTAACCAGTAACACCTTCTAATATGAAGCGCATCCACCAAGTGAAATCAAAAGGCAGAAGCGAGGAGATCGAAGATATATTTGATAAGCTATCAATATATCGAGGATCTTATGCACTAATCTGGCTAGCGATTGCGGCAGATGTTGAGCACTGCGTTGCCACACGTGATCTAGTGTAGATACTTGACCGAGTGCCTTTAGCTAGATGAGTCCCCTAAAACTGTGGTCAGCATCGAATGTCGAAAACTTACGGAGCTATTTATTTTGGGGATTTATTTACCGCTACAAGTGACATCGGATAACAAGCTTCAAGCGTTTGAGAATTGTTGCTGGTACAGTCACAGTTGGCTATATTTTCTAAAGTGTTTGTTATTAAGAGGCGTCAGATTCGTCCAAATTTTGTGGTATCATCGTTTGCACTTATCACACTGCTATTTCAAGAAGGTATCGGCAGTTTGAGCGTTATCGTCTGTTTTTTGCACTATCCAGTCATCAGACTTAGGATTTCAACAGAAAACAGATAAAAACAATACACAGAAGCAAAATAATTTCGTGCAAAGAAATGATGAAAAAGTATAGATTGTTAGAATCAAGAGTGAAGACGAATACGAAAACAACCAATGTACCCAAAGGTACCAAGGACTAATTACTTTCGAAAGCAAACATTAATCTTGACGAGTATTTTAACTGGAATAAATTCACTTGAAGTGAAGACAGCAGTTTCGACGCGTAATTAACGCCCAAAATAACAAAATTATCTCGGCGAGGGAAAATATCACTGTTATTTTTGAATAAGACGGTTTCAACTGATAAATTTTTGGTTGTTTTTAAGCTAAAATAAGTTTTAAAATGATATAAAAAGGAATATACATTTATATAATTTCAGACAATCTATTTCGAGGAGCTGTTCATTCAGGCGGATTGTTCAAAATAATTTCATGTAACACTTTCAAAACGTTACACTGTAGCGGTATTTAAAGGTCATTACATGTGAAAATACTGATATGAGTTTGTTTTCCTTATTGCAGGGCAGCAATAAGTAAACCTACTAGAAGAAGAGGAACAAGCAATACGGAAGCTGAACCTGTAAAACATCAAATTAATCCATTTTCTGATAAGTTTTTTATTGTACTCGACCCGTGTTATTCAATTTTAAATATATATATCTTTTGTGTCAGTACTTCGTGTTCTTACTTCAGTGGCTTTTACTGGTCCTGACTGTTGTGTTGTGTGCCGGATCGCTCCTGCTTCCAAGTAAATGCTAAAAGTACGTGCTACAACACTATCAACTCTTAGTCTCGATAATCAAAGTGTTTTAGACTTACACCTGTATTATTCTTAATTTTGTCCATTGCTTTCATACTATTTGTACATGCACTCTTTTTGCTGATCTAGTCGTTGACTCGTTTTTTTTTCTTGTTCTTTTCTCCACCAGATCTGGTTATCTATAATCCAACATATTGCTCCTCACAATCCTCTAGCAACCAAGTTACTTTCAGGCTGGACAAAATTTTTGTGAAATCTAAACATTAAAATCATATGGACTTGTTTAAGCTGTATACAAAAGGGATTTTGGATTCATGGACAGCTTTACGCCTTGGTCTAAATCAGGAGTCTGGAGGCCCAAATACACAACAGAAAGTAGGATTATTGTATGAACATCTACCTCAGGTTGTTTTGAAGTCTAAACACGAGGATGAAATAAGCGACTTTTTGGAAGATTATTTAGACGATGAATTAAATATTATTTGTGAAGACAAATCTCATGAAGAAGTTGCACGTCTAATATACGAAGGGCTTCTTCTTTTTCGAAATAAAAAGACCAATGAGCTTCAGGATAAAATAGACAAACTAACGACTGCTTGTAATCTCAACCAATGTTTATCACAAGACCAAACTACTGATGCTGACGATTTGACTTGCAGTGAGTCCGATTCAGGAAGTGAGGAGGATATTGACATGGAGTAAAAGTTTTTTCAAAATGTATAATATTTCCTTGTACATACTACTTTGCTTTGATTGTAATAATGCATTGTCTTTTTTATTATCTGCTATTATTAAACATGTGTAAGTTGCAACTTCCGAATTTGTTAAGAATTTCGGTGACAGAATGCGGTAATTCAGCGATTAACCTAATAAACGAGTCAGGTTTGGGTAGAAAACTCTTTTAGCTAAAATTGATGGAGAAAATAAACTGATGTCAGTGGTTCTTATTATAGCCTTGGGATCTAGGACTAGTAGATAAAGAGGCGGTAACCAAAAGTTATTCGTTAAGCTACATCTTTCTCCACAGTGTATTGTTGATGCAAATTGTCTTCCCTCGTACACAGCATAATTATCGTTAATTCACTATTCTGTGCTCATAACAAAAGCCATGCATATAGTCCCACAATTTCTTCTTTATTCATTTACGACAGATGTGTTGCCTGATCTTATTTTCAAAAAAAATATTCCCGCTCCTGAGCGATCAGCCCGTTTTGTATATCAACTACACATCATAAGCTACTTACAACTTCTGTTTTGAACCAATCTCAGGAAAGGAAATACTTCTGATTTTCTTAGGTGGCCACACTCCGAGCGTTCGACCTGAAGATCTGATCCACAAGGCAGTGGAGCATCGTAAGGAGATGCAGTCCCATGGTAGCCGGTGACCAACGATTGGTTCATACGCTGTTTGTTCGTTCAGGATATTGGAGCCCATGTGCACCATTGGTTTGGGATCTGGTTAGAGCGCCGGACGTTCGCTTTTCGTTCCCTCATTTTCGCAAAAAACACCCATGCGACGAGAAGGCAATGAGTAGGACTTTCCTGGCAGAGGTTATATACGCGTGGCCATGTGAGAGCATTTCAAGATGTAGAGCGGACTCTCCCCACTCTCGGCTGTACCAGGGCATTTGGGGGCTTTGTTACCTGTAAACTGACTGGACATAGAATGCGCCAACACACACCTGTAGACAATCTATTTTAATAGGCGAGGTGTCCTTAAAATGAACGGAACATTAAGACTTCCTAGCCTATGTTGAATTCATAATTCGTGGTTGATACGTGAATTGAACCGTCCTGTCATGACAAACAGATAAATCGTAGTCCTTGATGACTTTTTGGAATGTATGCTGACAAAGCGAAGGATCTTTTAGCAAAACCAAATTAATGAGCTACAAGGACGGACCATTCCGTATCCGCGAGTCTACGGCGTGCTCTTGACTTGTCATCCTTTAACTAAAAGATTCTCTACGAACTGTCCGACGCAAATATAGTTCAGCCTGATGATTGACTTGGTCAGAGCCCAATGGGATCCATCTGGCCCTGCACTCAAAAATAACTGTTGTATGATTCACGGGGATCACTTAGTAAACCACACTTGATAATGAATACTCCAGTTTCCGACTCCTTCTGCACTAGTTTTTGATCAGCTTACAGTATTATGCTTAAATACCACCAAAGTGGAAATTTTTTCTACCTACAAAGACCACGTTTCGCAGCCATAACGAGGCACTACACGAAATTTTCACTTGTAGGCAGACGGATATTTGGTTTGTGCTGTGTATAGGCGAAACTCAAACAAGTATTCCTACTGAACTCTAGATTTCATCAGCCAGTAGTTCATCCGTCTCGAAGCCCCTAAGACAATTGAAACAACAGCTGATGCTCTTGAATAATTCACTCCATAATTACAATATATAACGACTTAGAATAGTCCTAAAGCAAAATTTCGCATCTGAAGGGATATTCCAGACATTCTTATATTGTCGCTAAGTAATTTTAAAAAGTCATATCTTGTAATACTAGCACTAAACAGCATTATAGAAAAACACTGATCACTGTTAACCAATCGAGGGACGGTACATTAACCGGAGAGTTGTGACGCAGATCATCTTAATCAGGACTATCTCGTTGCTCCATGCTTCCTATTTGACGTTCGTCTCACACAGTTCATTCAAGCATTTGAAATGGTACAATACAACTACTTGAATGTGCCACTGATAGTTATTTTGCAGTTGTTACTCATTGACTCTTGACCTAAGCCAGCGGGCGAAAAAGGTAAAATTCTGGTGGTTTTTAAATGTTTGAATAGCCAAATAGTTAAAATTAGGTCATTCTTAGCTCATTTGTATAGTGCTAAAGACACGCAGTCTTCAACCACAAGACCGCAGATTCGAATCTTCGTTCTGTCTACTTTGGTTTGAGTAACAGAATATTATTCCTAGACATCTTCAAAAAAGTAATAAAGACATTATAACATATCTTCGATGTTAATGGTTATTGAATCACAAACGTTTTTGTTCCTGGATAAATTTAAAATACGTAGTAATTATCTCGTCTGAGATTTGAAAGCGTTTAGTCTAGACGTGAATGTATGTAATATGTGTCTATACCAACCAGCAGATCTTAGAATGATCAACAGCCAAAAATTCAGATTAATAAGCAGTATATTGATGCATCCATTACAAAATGAATTATTATATATGTACAAGTATACAAGCCTCAAAGGGTTTTTTTTGCCTGGTTAAACATGATCAGCTGCTAATTTTAAATAGTAATTAAGCGAAATATTTTGTTCAGAAAACTTTTCAAAGTCCAAAAAGTCCAAGTTTCCATGCAATGGAATAGGTGGACGATCATCCGTTAGTTTGAAGAAATTCCTTATTGACTGTCGTAATGCTTCCTCTTCTGCAATTAATATCGTTTCACCAGGAGCTTAAGTGGTTGAGATAAAAACAAATAAATTACTATAAAACAGGTTGAGGTATAAACTTGTTACTCCTATAGAAATTTAAAGTATTTGCTTTTCTCTAGTTTTGTACATAAAAATGAAATTTCTTCGAAATTCACTGGGTTTAATTGATAATAAATTTCATGGGCTACTTTTCAAAATCATCACAAACATCAATCTTAACAATATGTTCATAACACCACATACGTAGCAAAAATAAACGACTCGATTGCTATTTATCTCAAGTTACAGAATACAAGCAAAACACACCATAAAATTTATAATTGATTTTAGCAATATATATATATATATATATATATATATATATATATATATATTCAGGTGTTGCTCATCCACAATTATGTGGTCAGTATAAATCATTCGTGAAGTAAAAACGAATTCGAGGCGACCTGTTCGTTAGAACTAGTGACGGTACAGTTTCAGTTGCCCAAATCTGAATAATCGAACAGGGTTCATAGCTGGGACCCATTGATTAAACAATCAATGATTCTTAACTATTAATTCATTGCTTTACTGCTTCCTCGTTATGCTTAAACAATGTACATTTATTAAGAGCTTACAAAATATCGGTAAAGTTTTTGAAATCAACACCACAACAACTTGGTCTAACCTCTGATATCTTCCCTAACCAATATTAATAACATCAACATTATGGGTACCACATCTAAATCAATGTAGGTACACAATCTGTCAGACTTTCTTGCCTAAAACTTCTTGTATATCTATAATAGTGCCCAGTTTGTAGTTAAACCGAAAATCTTATGACAGTAATGGTAGATAACTACCAACATCTTTGTAAATCTCCTTGTTTAACTTGGTTTTCCGTTCAAGTCGTCAAGGTGTACGCTTTGTCATGATTTAGTGCTAACCTGACTTTCACAAGAACTGATAACCAGGTCTAAGCATACTTTCTTTAATTGTAGTCACATAAGTAACTCAACAAATAAGTCAGTGAATGAACATGCTGCGGTTTCCATGGGTATAGATCAATAGCTGATTCATGACTTTTCCACAGTCTTATGAAAAATCCTTAAAATCCCAAACCAGTATAAATGTAGGACAGATATTCAGTTGCACATCGTTTGGGTTACATAAATCCATTATAAAAATCTTAACACCATGTATGTGTGAAAAGTTAAGAATCTGCTGTTTACCTTCTCCAATGAGTTGACAATCACTGTATATACCAACTTCAAAACACGCTAGCACAGTATTCATACTTGACTGATAAATTAATCTGTAAGTAGAAGTGAGCAAATAAATTATCTATTACATTCATATACACAAAATAACTATATATTTGTATTGTGTCTACATATGATTAGAGGTGTATCATGAATTAAAACTATGTTCAACCAATAACTTTAGTGTATTTCTATATTGTAAAGTGAGCCATTTTCACACAAAATTGAAGTTTTCCATCCCTAGAGGTGAGATTGCGACTAATCAACAAAGTGTTCCGAAGAAAAAAATTACGTAGAGATCCTCTAAGTATTTTTTTCAAGCTCATTTGAATTACATTTCAAAGTAAATAATTTATCATTTTAGATTAGACCAATTAGGATGAGAGTAAAATCTTTAGAAGCCTTGCGTTCTATGAAGTGGATAGTTTAATTGTAGTCTTTTTTGTCTCTCTAGATATAATTAACAAATGCTTTACTACCAAATAATCCATTTAAAAAAACTAGGTAATTCAAAAAACCTTTTACTGAGCACAGAAATCGTCACCAAAAATATGTACGAATATGATAGAATTTAGTTAACCCAACTTAAAATTAGTCACAATGCTTTAGATATATTCAATTCTTTAAATTACTTTTTCCTGGACCTTGAGAATCGCTAATATTCTGCATTTTTCTCTCTTTATTTCATTCCTTCATTTCTGAGCAACGTTTTCGAATTTTACTTTTTCTGACTACCATTTGTACGATTATATAATTTTGATTACCCAACTAACCATTCACATTTTGTAAATTTAATTTCACAGTGTTGATATAATGTGACGAATGTAGTTGTTAAATATTGATGTCAAGTCCTATGTCGATTTTTATTGATTAACTAAATAATAAAATCAAATCCAAATTTTTATCCGCAAAACTAAGGTTTCAATACATAGGTTCACAAGCAAAGGAATATTTTGTTATCTTCTTTCCCACAACAGTTAAAGATGAAGGAGCAACCTTTCGGAAAACATTATCTTAAATTAATGCATACCACTTACCTGGTTTCAGGTGGGCCACGTCCTTCAGATTGAAGTATACCCTGTAGAAGGGGTAATGGATTGGGAATTGAAATTAGTTCAGTTAAATCTATATCTAGAAGTCGTGCTAGTATGAAGTCTCGAATAAACAAATGTGCTTTATCCATCTAAGTTGAAATAATAATAACAGTTATCGAAACATTATTTTTGTGAACACATTTTATAGATTATAATATATTTCGACTGTTAATCAAACAACATAAAGACATCACTAATATATATATATATATATATATATATTGCTTTTTTATTTGCAGCAGTCCAAACAAGTGAAAAAATAAATTTCATTCCTAATTTGAGTGAAATTCTTAAAAAAGTGATTAAATCATATATGGATGAATATTAGTCATGATTAGGAGAAAGGAGGAAAGTTTTTTGAATACATTCACCTTTTCTTTTGCTAAAGCACCGACTAGAGCCATAAGTGCGTGAGTTAAAACATCCAGATTCGGTGGAGCTGATATAATTTTATTGCTTGAATAATCTACTTGATCACTGTACAATACTATATCTTTAATTCCTAAATGAGCGGCTATAAAGGCAAGCTCAGAAGGTGACTTTAAATACTGAACAATAGTCATAATCCACTCCTCAGGGAATCGAGGATACATTGATCGCAAGAAGATATATAAAAAGTTTTCCGAAACAGAAAGTCCTACAAAGTAAATAAAAATATACAAAGTATATAGAAGATTAACTAAAGTTCATGAGAAATAATAGATATTTACCAAGAAACCACTACATAATGATATACTCGATATGAACTAGATGGATGTCAACCATACATCGTATAAAACTACATTATAATGAATCATTTAAAAGTAAACAGAAACTCCTAGTTGTTAAGAAGTGTGATGCTTCCTGGTAGCTAGCTACGTGCAATAATATACACATGTAAGAGAAGACAGTAACACACAGCTGCTACGACATGTGTAGATCAAATAGATGATAATTTTTGACATGTTTCCGATCCAAATTGATCAACCAATGAAGCTTTTTCGTTTGATATTTCAAGTACTAAAATATAGACCCATTAAAATCTAAACCTTAGTTAACGAAGATTCCAGATTGAGTGGAGTACTACTAAACATTTATATGAACAACGTAAGTTTACTGCCTTAATCATAAGATATAAAGTTTTTACACTAAGAACATGAAATATGTAGACGAATACTCTGTAAACATATGCGAAATCACAAGATTTGTACATGTTAGATATAACCAACAGACGGAAGATCCCATAAAGACAGCTACTACTATTGGTAAACGTTAAAAGACCAATTAAATCGATAAAATAGATGTTTTGGTTACATACTGCATTAACCTGAATTGTACATGTATTTGGCGTAACAAAATACATATTTTTTGACCAAGAAATGGGTTGATGGGGTACATGAGGTGTCAATACTAACTAATTATCAGACAGATGTTATTGATGATTGAAAATAACTATACATGAATTAAATAAAGATGATATTAGTTAGCGAATAAGCTTAAGTCCATTAACAAGTCAAACATTTCTACGAACATGAATTGTAATCGGCAACCCCTTACCTAGAGCAGCAAGTTCCGAGTTGTCCTGCATTATTTTACGGTCTGATTCGGCTTTTTTTACAGACCAAAACGAAGAATATGATCTATGATTCAATACACAGTATGATTTTCAATTTGAAACTCAGTAACTACCGATCTGTCAGAACGACCTCAATAAGGTCTTTCTCTAATTTTTCACCGATTCTGGACAAAAACGCGGATAATTCGGAGTCACGATTCCAGCATAACCAATCTTTTCTGGGTCGATAAATCTCTGGACCTTGAGCAAGTCTTCTACCATACAAGTCTTTTAGATATGGACGAATAAATCGAGGTCTTCTGCCATGACGCACACCTTATCTTAAAATGAAAGATAGAAAGTAGAACATACAAGATATCAATACGGGAAAGAGGGTAAATAGACGTGACATCAAAAGCAACGCACAATGTCCTTCGATTTGAAATATCACTGTGACAAGGTCTCAACATGAATAAAATCAATAGTTTTACTACATTACTGGTTGACCAAGAACTTCACTGCTGACTTACTCAAGCTTTCTTTAGGACCTTTGACCCAGTATTATTAGCAAGATTTATTTTTATCCAAGTGTTTGAGTAAATTTCTATTACTTATGAGAGACGAACTGGGAACTTAAAAGTGCATTTTCGACTAGTTTCTTCCAAATGTATGTGGACGGATTAGAAGAAGCTTTCATATATCGGGCTTTTTTGTCCAGTAGCAGTGAATCGCTTATATCTCCATGCAGGAACTTAGGTACATTACCGATAATAGAGGAAAAAGAATTGGTAAGCCATAGTAAGATATTATCCTGAGTCCATAACAATAGATCAAGTTGCCTCATTAAGGACTCCTGGGAAGTCACTTAAGCTGCCTCAGCCATCAGCGAATTTTAGCATTTGATGACTTTCAAGAGGTAGAAGTTGCGTCTAAAGTCCTTTTTGCTGCGTTGTTACCCCTTAGGTTTGTGTTCGATCAAAACGTCAGTAAGTGTTTAAAGTAATGTCAAGAAGTTTTAAGCATACTGTATGCCATCATAAGGTCACCTCTAGGATGCGGATACTCTAATACGTAAAGTTTTAGTGATTGGAGACGCTCATCATAAGGCTTGTATTTGTCCCCGAACTGATTTCGTGGCTCGCTGTTGGATACGCGTCTCATTGTGATTGTCCTTTTGAAGTGAGGGAAGAAATACCATGTTTCCGCATACCATATAAGGATGAATAAAACTATTGAGAACTATGTGGAAAGTTCTTCCGTCGAACTGGTCAAAAATGCGCTACCATAATGCGAGTGCATTATCTGCTCGAAAGGCATTTTCGTCACAGTTAGCTTAAGACCTACTTAGCCTAGGTCTCAACATAAACCTTAGGGATAACACGCAGAAACTTGGGAAATAACATTGCAGAAAAAACCGTGAGTACACCTACTCTTTAAAAGTAGTCAAATGCCGGATCTCACTACCGATTGAGTTAATTCACGCGGCTTCCGAGGAGTCCTGTGAAAGAATACGTGATACATTCTCAAGGATTCGTGACAGCATATAACTATGATTCGTAAGATTTCTCATTTTTCAATAAATATACCTAGGTTCCTGTCTGGAGGTATCACTGATCCGCTGCTACTGGGTTTGGAGGCCCGTTATGCAAAAGTTTCTATTATTCCGTCCAGAACCCTATGAAACCGGCGAGACTCTAATTTAAGGACGAGACAATCAGAAGCGTTTGAGCCATTTCAAGGTCACGGAGCCAAGTTTAACACCTGATACTCATATTTGATCGATTTACAGCGGATTTTAAAGAAGGGGTGATTATTGAGAGGCTACAAGGTGTAATGACCTACTTTTGTTAACAGAACGCGATTGGTTCAATGAAAACAATTATTATTATAACCAATTGTACCAGTGACTGTTTTACTTTGCTCGTTTGTTTAACTGTGCTAATAACAGCCATTTTGGTCTTCCTTTGTATTCCATTCCTTCTACGTGGTTTTCGACTACGCACGCACCTTTTCTTGCCCATCGCATCTGTACTCCTTTGGCACGATCTCGGTATTCTTTCGATACCACGAGATCGCCAACAAATATATTGCAACTACTACTATCATCTGCCTTCTGATTTTTGGCCTACCGGAATATTATTGGTCAACTGACACGTAGTCTGGTAGCGGTGTTCATAGTCAAGCTCAACTCGACACCACGCTACAAAGGGATGGGATTACTAAAACGTTCTTGTACGTGAGACTGCGGTTATCAAATGAGCGCAGTAAAGTGGGCAAACCACCGTGGTGAGATTATATTTCGTTGTCCTTCATGTTGGAGGAGAAAGTCTGCTAGAACGGGGACTTTCTTTGCTCGATTGCTACTGAAACTGAATCAGATTATGATAATAGATGTAAATTGCGTAATAAATACACCAGTAACACTGGCTGCGGCGTTTGCAGTTGTTTATGAAACTTCAGCAGTCCAGTGGTATAAGTACTGCCGTGACATATGTGCAACTAAAATAACACTTGTACAACAACCATTCGGAGGAGTAGGATGTATCGTGCAGACAGATGAAACGGCAGTGAGAAAGCTAAAATACAACAGGGGACGTAGTATAAAGTAGGATTGTGTAAGTAGCATTTCCGTAAATATACTCGACAGGTACTTGGAATTTATGACTTTTTATACCGTATGCAATATGATTTCAAAACATCTGAAACTTTAGCAAACCTTGATAAGTTTTTAAATCATGTAGAAGAAGTATATTCACTGTAATCCGTTAGTTTCTTCTAATATATTTCTACGTTATACTAGCTGTCTTCTGATTGGCTAATGTTCTCAAGGTCACTTAATAGTCGTTCAAAGGTCGTCCCTAAATTAGAGTCTCGCCACTCCATTTAATTAATCGTTAGTCAATATTTATAGCCAGACAAAAATAAGTTACAGACATGCGGTGAATAGGATTGGAAGTATATATAAATATATATAAAAACAGTCAAGGATGATAATCGAATGATTAACAAGTCCAAAACGTGCATCGAGAAGCGTTAATCAAGCAGCCTATCCGGAATCTAGAATAAGCTGTGTGGGCTAGCATAGGAGTCGACAGTTCAAAGTCATTTAAAAATTTTTGAGAAATGTGGGGTTCGGTACAATATGCTGATGTTCACTACGCGTCTCGTGCCCGCAACTGACTCCACTTTAATACTCATATGTCCTATATATATTTTCACAAGTGGCCACTTATACATCATGGTAATACAAAATCGAATCGAGTAGCCGAAACACAAATATAACGAGGATACGTTTTTTCCAACCTTCACATGGTAAGCAGACAATCATGTAAGCTCAGCTAAGGGATCTCTCTTCAACGAATTTATGATCAAGCTGTGCATTATTATATAAAAAAGAAAATTTCCTAACTATTAATTCCCTAAGTACCAATGAACAAAGAATAGTTATAATGATGTAATTGAAAGGTTATAAACCTTAAAATAAACCTGTGTATCAGTGGAATGGCTAAAATTGGTTAGATTTTCAAAAATTAATTAATTCACTAAAAATCCAGACAAAGATTAGGCAGAGATGGCATGACAAATGAGCGGCTTTTAAACTGTTAAGTTAGGGTCAATTGACTTCAGACCACATAGTGAGACTGATGATGTATTTGTAAGCAACCTCTTGAAATAAGTGGTTTTTAAACATTGAGGATTGTTCTCGAGCTCATCTACATCTGTCTACGATAAAATAAACTTTTCGGCGAGACTCTAATTTAGGGACGAGCCAATCGGAAGCGTGTGAGCCGTTTCAAGGTCACGGAGCCAAGTTTAACATCTGATGCTCACATATGATCGGTTTACAGCGGATTTTAGAGAAGAGGTGATTATTGAGAGGCTACAAGGGATGGGATTACTAAAAAGTTCTTGTACGTGAGACTGCGGTTATCATATGACCGCAGTAAAGTGTACAAATCACCGTGGTGAGATTATATTGCGTTGTCCTTCATGTTGGATGAGAAAGTCTACTAAAACGAGGACTTTCTTAGCTCGATTGCTACTGAAACTGAATCAGATTATAATTATAGTTGCAAATTGGGCAATAAATACACCAGTAACACTGGATGCGGCGTTTGCAGTTGTTTATGAAACTTCAGCAGTCCAGTGGTATAAGTACTGCCGTGACATATGTGCAACTAAAATATCACGTATACACCAATCATTCGGAGGAGTAGGATGTATCGTGCAGACAGATGAAACGGCAGTGAGAAAGCTAAAATACAACAGGGGACGTAGTATAAAGTAGGATTGTGTAAGTAGCATTTCCGTAAATATACTCGACAGGTACTTGGAATTTATGACTTTTTATATCGTATGCAATATCATTTCAAAACATCTGAAACTTTAGCAAACCTTGATAAGTTTTTAAATCACGTGAAATAAGTATATTCACTGTAATCCATTAGTTTCTTCTAATATATTTCTACGTTATACTGGCTGTCTTCTGATTGGCTAATATTCTCAAGGTCACTTAATAGTCGTTCAAAGGTCGTCCCTAAATTAGAGTCTCGCCAACTTTTCTTTACAACTGTTATCAGTATTTTTTTTATCTGTAATGTTGGAGATATCGTGATCGTAACCAGTATTGTTTTATTCTGTCGTATCAGCGTATATTTCGAAGCGATTATCTCATTTTTAACGATGCTGATGAGGTACAAAACGTTATACACGAGAAGATTTTATCATATTTATCAAGGGTTGTTCCGGTTTAGCTTATCATCAGATACATCAAGAACCTTGTACTCTCTAGTAAAACCTTTAAAATGTTAACAGCCATTATCAAATGTAACCATGAGGTAAAAATAAGAATTAGTGAGAAAAATCTTCGACCTCATAAATTCATTTACAGACAGCTCACATAAGCAAACACGAGACACTTCATTTCTTTAGCAAGTGAAACCCAGAAAGATCAGTAGTTGAAGCGATTAGTCCCTTTGATAAATTTCGATAGTGTACTAAGAAGATGAATATTACCAGAATGATGTGATATATTAGCGCAATATATTTCGAACATTGTGATCTCATATATACTTATTAACATCATTTATATATAAAAACAAAAGGTCAACTTTACTAGGAATGGGGGAAGGTGAAATGAGACAGGATTATATTGAAAATAATGTGAAAAAAATTTGAAACCTCATCACTCTGGATAATAAGCTAATATTATCAGGATATGTTTGGGATGAGAACAAAATGTTTTTGAATACACAATTGGGTCGCAGAAACGTAAAATCAAATAACCCACTAAGAGTATATGTTAAATATCCATAATCTTCTATTGCTAAACACAGTTGACAGAGGTCACAAAATTGATCTTAACACAACTTTCGTGGTGTTGTATGAAAGTGTGAGTGTTTGTTCTCATTCTTAACCAACCCAGGTAATATTAGCATATCATCCAGAGAGATGAGGTTTCGAATTTTTTCCACATTATTTCCTGTCATTCCTGTCTCCTCTTACACCCATTTCTAGTAAAGTTGACCTTTTATTTTTATATATAAATGTTCTTAATAAGTATATGTGTGATCACGTTGTTCGAAATAATAGTTGCTTTGTCGTTCATCCTACAAAAACTCAGATCAAATACTCATTGCAGTTGTTTAGGTCACAGATTATGATTATCACTGACAGTCTAATTACACTAAAAGTTATAACCTTTTAGGTCATTGAGACGACACTGTCCTACAACCGATAATTTTATACCATCCTGGATCAGCAAGGTACTATATCACGGTCCTCTGTTCGTATATACAGTCGTCTAACCTAACCAATGTATCTCTGACGAAACTTTCGTAAAATAGTGAATTTTGTGTTATCTTTCGTTTTTCTCTATACATTGGTTGATTATTTATTAACCATGGTACTCGCATATTAATTACAGATAGATACAATTATTTCTATAAAATTACCACCAATTATTGATTTATCCACAGATTACTAGTAGGAAAGAAAAGGTCACTTATTCTACTTCATACAACAGGACATTATATCATCTCTAATAGAACACTTTATTATTGTGTCTCTCATTAGCCAGTAGTCTCATCTACTACTCATGATGTATAACTACACTATAATCATCAACAACTTCAAACTAACGATCAAAAGCCATAATAATGTGTACTTCGTTTTTGTTTGTGTTAATAAGTATCATATGGAAGTTCGCATAGTTAATCGATTCTCCATCTGATTTATGTTTACACATTTAAATATACAGCTTCATAACGAATATAATGAACACCAAGTTCTTCTTGATATTTTATTAGATATTGTAAAATTAATTCCACCTCTTTCCTTGTGAAGATGTAATACTAATTATGATCGATTTCCAAGAGTTAAAGTTTCAAATAGTTGTTACCATTGAAAAAATGGAATAAAATTATTATACCACATGGTGTAGAAAAAAAAACAACAATTTATTTACGAAATATAAAAAATGAAATAAATTCAATCAATTGATTAATATATATATATATATTACAATGATAAAGTGAAACAAAAGAGAACCAATGGAAATCACATAATACGGAAAGAATTAAATTGTTCTACTCAAAATATGGCTTTTTTTAAAACGCATGAATAAGGAATAGCTAATGTGTTTGAATCTAAGTACATTCATCAACACTACAATGTAGATATACTCAAATGGAATAAAAATACAATCACTCAGCACTCTATCATCTCTTATCATCATCATCACCATCATCATTATCATCATCATAACAATAAAGATATTATTGTACATACATGTCAGACACAAACATATAGACTACTATTATTGTTCTTAGTAGTTTGGTAAATTTAAAACAAAAAAAAGATTATTCATTAACATTTATCAGCTGATGTTCAGTTAATCAAAATCAAAATAAAAAAAAACTTCTACTCATTAATATGAATTAGAGGAATGATATAGATTTTATAAATTTTTAATAGTCATATTGATAAACTGGTTTAAAACAATGTTGATATTACATAACAATTTTGATGACAAATACAATAAAAAAAAACTGAGAATCATGTGGTATCTAAGGTGAATTGTATTAAATTTTTCAACAACAAAAAAAACCAGTAAAGTTTTTTTTTCAAGTTTGTCATGAATACATTAAGAAGTACAATTGTTCATTATTGTAGAATAAAGATAAAAAAAGATTTGGTATAATTTTAATCATTATTATGTTTGCCAAATTAAAAAAGCCCATTTATCTATTCTAAAACTAACTAACGCTCCGGGTAATGTAGCTAAATGACTACCATAAGATTCAGTGCCTACAATGGAATGCCATATTTTACCAAAATGTTCATCTAATGTTTCTTTCATTAGTTTAGCTAGTGAATCAAGATCTTTTGTTTTATTTAATGATTCACGTGCTAAATTTGTAATCCAATGTAATTTCTCTTTTGATAATCCCATAGGTAGATTTTCATTATCATTATCACCATTATCCATTTGCATATATTCAATTTCTATAAAATTTATATGGCGATTAGATCCTAGGCTATGTGTATAAATAGAATTTGTATCATAGAAATCTAATGTACTTAAAGACGGTATCGATTTAGCACAACATACATGTCTATGTGGTTGATAATGATGATGATGGCCAGATGGTATAAACATTTTCGAACCACTTAATGATCTATATCTCCGACTTGAATTTAATTGACATTCATGATCTAATGAAGATGAACAACTTACTCCACGTAATCTTTGATCACAATACATATCAGCTCGATGTAATGATCTTGAATCACTGTTATAATGATTTAAATGATGAATTCTTTCATTACATTTTGAACACATAACATTACATTTTCGACAAGCACCAGAGTTATATGAAGCATGTGAACACAGTCGATTCAATGATGAATGTGACTTTTCGTGGTGGCTTTCATATTCACTCCGTCGTGAACGATTTCTATATTTATTACGGTTTTTTTTGTTAGTTTTATTGGGTAAAAACAATCGACTCTGCTTTAATTCTGACAAACCTACATTTCTATTTTGGGAATTTGAATAAGATTGTACATCTAGACTTGTATCATGGAATCCGTCAGTTGGCATGACCTCGTTCTCATTGAAATCAGATGATTGAACTGGTCCAGGTGCTATCAAATTTAAGCGACTGATTACACGTTTTTGTTCATTATTGTATGGATTATATGTAACTGAGCTTTGAACTGATGTAACAGGTTTTTTATATTTGGTATTCTTTGATTTCTCTACAGATTCTCTTCCCACCGGTGATTGAGATAGTTCACTACTTTGAAGACCATCAATATAATCATGAGATTGGTTTTGATGATGACGTCGATGATGATGATGATACCGTTCACGATGACTACGATTTGAACGATGTAATACTCGTTGCCTTTTATGCACTACATTTGTTCTGTAATGTTTATGTTCTGTTTTATTAGTATACTGATTTTTTCTAAAACCATTTAAATCCTGCTCATTATGTTCATCATTATTGTGATTATAAAAAACTTCTTCATCATCACGTTCAATATATTCTTTATTATCATTTTCAGAAATAGTGAATTTTTTAATAACTTTCACAATCCGTTCAGTACCGGGTAGAAGAAAGATTTTCTCTGATTTATCGGCATCAATTTGATTTTTATCATGTTGGTTATCACTGCTATATGGTAAATCTGACTCTAATTTGGGACTATATGCTAAACGTAGAGTAGATGGAGATTGCGGCGCAGCGTCGTAACTACGTTCATTTAGTAATGAACCTACAGATTCTGAACGTGATACAGTTGCTGATGTCAACGTTTGACTTTCCATTGAATTGTATTGTAATTAGTGTTTTTAGTGCTTTTTTATCGAATAATTACTGTAAAATGAACAAATAAAAAGCATAAAACAAAGGTGTTTTCATAAAACTATGTGTTTATGATTACTTTTTGATGTATTTTTAATTAAGATATATAAAAGAAAAAAACTCCCTTCATGATTGAGAAAAATCGTCATCAAAGAAATACATAGAACCGCTCTACCACATTTGAATAATAGCGGTCCTGTACTAGATAGAAATAGACAATTCAAATTGTTGATCGTATAAACTTTACCCTTCATGGGTGTTACTTTTGTCTCTTACTAATAACAGAAAGCTATAGAGATTCGAGCAAACAACATAAGTCATTGTATTCATAGTAAATTTGTAACACACTTATGCTTTCCTTGAACAAATAAGCCTTAAAAAACGATTTTTCTTATTACTGTTATTTTTCTGTACTCATTGTTGGTTTATTTTTCTCAACCTCAATATTTCTATTAATTCCCAGGCACTTCAAAACTTACTTCATATTTTCTAATAATAGAATCCAGAAGAGGTTAGAGTATCATTGAGAACATTAATACTAAAATACATTCATATCAAGCTGACGAGTTTCGAATAAAACAGAATGTGTTTCCTGAATTTCATTGTCAACCATTATCAAATTTTGCTTAGAAACAGACATGTGCTTTTTTTATAAAGCAAACGACACCGAAAAAAGATGAAACATATAAAATTAACATTCAAAATAAAGAATGGTTAAATCTCCGACAATATCAATCAGCATTGTATTTCAAACCTTATTGAAAGATTACAAACTTATCATCAGATGTTTAATTATAGAAAATGGTAATGGTTAGGAATAGAATTCAGAATTTGCTTTTTGTTCTATTTGAAACTTGTCAGTTAGATGCGCCTGCATCCACCAATTAGTTTTTTTTGTTTAATTCAATAGCTTATTCGTTATAAATATTTGTTAACTATAACAACGTGATTCATTTTTTGTTATTAAGTTCAACTCAATTATATCAACCTATACGGTATGTTGAATTTTGCAGGTAGATGTATTTATACAAGATATGCAATCAATAGACAACTTTTCTTGTTTTTTTTGTATTTTTGTCTTTCATCCCCTTTGAAATTTACATTTGCATTCTCTTTTTAATTATAAGAGTTAGGCACTACTAAATGAAGGATATATGTTGAGATGGTAGAGAAGATTTGTAGCTCAGGTGGATGATTTTGATGGAGTTCTGTTCTCTGAGCTGGATGGTTTGGTCGTGGAGCTTTTATCGTTCTTCTGAACGACATCATCAGCTGATGATATATGTTAAATGATAAATATTATGAAAATATTTCATATTCAGGATATAAAGCCAAATTCTAGTCATTCTGATAGTTTTCAATTCTTTCATTATTCTATTTGAATATATTTCATTACTGACATTATAGTTCAAATCAGGTTAAAAATGCAACGTTTTAAAAGATACTCAATTAATTCTTTTAGTATCAATATTTTTTCAATCAAAAATTGTTTCTTTTTTATTGAATAGCAGAGTAACGTATTCAAGATGTATCTGTTAACAGAAATCTACAGACTAATTAATATAACATAGATGGAAAGTTATGTAATGCTTTTTTACTATCATAGGAACTACAATTTATTTCAGATTTTCCTTTGACTGTTGATATTCATCTCCTTCAGGGTGGTAACTCACTCTCCCTTGAAAATGTACACTTACACTTAATTCACTGTAAATATTTCAGTGATTATTATTATTATTTTACTGTTTTTTTTTTCAAAAGTCTAGGGATGTGATAAAACTTAATTGGTTTTTATGATGTACATAGTTATAACGATCAGTACCACAGAAATATTGTGAACTATTCACTGTGAATTTTATCATTTATTTGTTTACGTAATTGTTGTATATGGTATTTCCTCTTTAAAGATCTTTTATATGATACAATTTTTCTTTGAAAAAGCTTGAATCAGATGGCCAGGCGAAACGTTGGATTTATTTCGAATTCTTTCGCTGAGATTTTATAAATACATTCATCCACTTTAAGTAACAAACATGTTTTGATAACTTTTCAGATAATAAAACAAATCATTATTTATTTTTACCATTCAAATAAGAAATACAAGTCAAGTATTCAATGTAAAAGTTTGATGATAACACTGATACCACCACCATTACTACTAACGGACTACTTAAATCAAATTAGAGATACACGTTATGCAATGTACATGGTTAATTTATGTTCACGTATTTTCTTTAAGGAATAGCATTCAAAGTAACATTATTAGGATATTTTGTGTTTTTGTACCGAGATTTTAATGTAACTGAGGATATATTAATAATACAGGGAAAGTTTAACTTGATCAAACAGATCAAAATAGCCTCATTTAACTACTTGTAAGTAAGAATATAAGAGTGATTTTAACAAGAAAACAATAATTTCTAGAGTAAAAGTAATTACTATTGCAATAAAATTACCTATGTAGAAAAACGTCATTGAAATTACTACAATCTCCACAAAACCGCTTCAGATACTAATCAATATATATATATAATCAACGTATATCATGGAGATCTAGTGAGAAGCAGTGACCGGTGGAGTTCAGCCAGGTCTGTTGTGGGATAGTAACTCACTGATGACAGTGGTAAATGTGTCACTCGATTTCGTGGACTAGTTGAAGTTAGACATTAACACCGTTGGGTGCCGGCGCAATGGTCTAGTTGTTAAGCGCTTGCGCGTGAAACTGATAGATCCTGGGTTCGAGTCCATTGCGGTGCGATCGTGTATGTGCACTGCTGAGGAGTCCCATACTAGGAAGAGACGGTCATCTAGTGCTTTCAGGTTTTCCATAGTGGTCTAGCTTCAATTGACTCATGATCTCAACTATTTAGATTATTTTTCTTAAAATGCATAACTAATATGAAAACCAAACTGATTACAGGTAATGTAAACTCTTTACTGTTATAGAGGTGATTTGTCACATAAAAATTATTATGTTGAATTATAGCTTGTCAAATGATTGTTTTTAAAGTAACATAAAATGAGGCAACATTATGAAATTTCCAATATATATATATATATATATATATATATATATATATATATATATATATATATAGTTATTATCATGTCACTGTGAACAGGCTAGAAATTCTATATTGAATGATATCTAGATTCGATTATATGATAAATATCTAGAAAATTTGTTATTAAGTAAGATAACTGATATTTTCATTGGTTTATTCAATTAAACTATTCTATAATACAATAAACTAATTCATTTGAAAATCGAAATGGATAACTCAAATTTTTATATATTGGATAAAAAATTTATGAATCTTCACTATATACAGTTTGTGGTGGCTTTGCTTCGTTAATCTATCATCCCTGTAACCGTTAATATTATTATTATTATTAATATAAATTTCGATGGTGTTTGAAATCAAAAGGCAATGAGAAGCGGCAAATACAGTTTACTAGCGGATAGCGTAGATCACAAAGCTATAAGCACATCGAGTAAATTTGAAGCAAAGAGACGAACAAGTATGTGTGAATAGTTACATAGGAGAATTTATAGTCACATTGCATAAAGGCGCAGCAAGGCGAAACAAGGATTTCAGTACATATATACATGGAGAGGAGGATGATATTTAAGTAATCAACATTTTAACTAGAGTTTGCCATGTTATCTAGTGATCATAACGGTACAAAGTAACAGACGAATTGTTACTGTTCAAATAACATCGTCTGTTAAATAAGTTATTAAAATGGCTTAACCGAAGTTAACCATAATCGAAATTGATTATAGAATAGTTGCTATAAATTAAAGTGTAATAAAATAACTGATAGATACTTAACAAAAAGAACAGTTTAGAACAAATAGATAATCTGTATCTTGATAATGCAGAAAAACAATTCAAATGACTTATCTTAATCCCGAATTAATTAATCCTAATCTTAAACATTATGCTATAATTTAAATTTACCACAACTAACAAGTTCACTGATTTAAATCAGTAAGTATACTACTACGGGCTTGAGGGTTAATGTCACTTCTCCGCTGTCTACACCGTGAAAGGGTATTCCTTTAGAAACCTGGAAAGAAAGATAGATTAATGTTGGTTCTAAAGACCTGGGAGCATGACTGCAGAACTCAAGGAACAACTGCTCGATGCCGGTCGCCTACGACTTTTTTGTTGTAGGATTTGACGAGTTAGCTCCGTTCTCCAAAGGACCTTACCACCGGAGACGGAAATGCGTGAGGTAAGATGAGGCGTGGCATATTTAGGGTCAACCTTTTCTGACCACTTTCTTCCTCGTGAGAAGGCAGCATCGCTGCAGATGCTGGTTGTCCGAGGGAAACACCTTACTGTTATCACACCCCTCTACAGTCAACAGTACGACTTCGCCCTCAGACCTTGAGTTGCTGCTTTCGCGAGACTCTAATTTAGGGACGACCTTTGAGGGAATTTTAAGTGACCTTGAGAATATTAGCCAATCAGAAGACATTTAGTATAAAGTAAAAATATATTAGAGGAAACTAAAGAATTACAGTGGATATACTTCTTTTACCCAATCTTCCTTGACACTACGTCCCTTGTTGTATTTTCTCTTTCTCACTACCGTTTCATCTATCTCTACGATATGTTCTACTCCTCAAAATGATTGCTGTATACTTGTCAATTTAGCTGCGCATATGTCACGGCAGTATTCATACCACTGGACTGCTGAGGTTTCAGTAACATCTGCGAATGCCGCAGCCAGTGTTACTGGTGTCTTTATAAACCGATTCGCAACTATTATCATGATCTGTCTCAATCTCAGTCGCGATCGAGCAAAGAAAGTCCCCGTTCTAGCAGACTTTTTCCTCCAACATGAAGGACAACGGAATATAATCTCGCCGTGGTGGTCTGCAGACTTTACTGAAGTCATTTCAGAGCAGCAGTCACACGTACAAGAACTTTATAGTAGTCCCATCTCTTGT